TATTCTTCGAACGGGAAAGCGCTCTAGCCTGAGCCCCTAGGCCACAAAATGGCGTATTTCAAGGCTAAATCGGGAAGCATGGTCGGATGAGGACTTATCAAGAACCACTAGCTCCGAGCTTGAAGAGAAACTTTCGTCGCCAAAGAGTCAGTGGCCAGACATACGATCCAAGTTTTTCCTCTATTAAATTGCCGCCATAGACGCACGACCATTTCCCAGTGAACAGCATAACCAGACATAGGAAAATCAGTCAAAATGCTGCATCCTGCAGATAGCAGCTTGGAATCCCCGAATAAGATAATTAGGTCTTGCAGCCCTTACCTCCTCTCTTTTCATACGAAGCAAGAATATCATTAAAGGTCACCCCTAAAACACAACCAAAGGTAAGATCGCCTGCTCAGAAAGCCAAAAAACACGAAAAGTAACTGCCCAAGAATTATTTCTCTTCTGGTTCCTACTTTGGATCACCCCATAGGAAACCGTGACAGCCGCCAACACACCAAACCGGGGCAGTTCCACTTTCAACATCTATCATATCTAGAACTGGAAACCTGCATAAGATTTCATTCAACATCTATATATCTAGAACTGGAACTGATAAGATTTATTGACGAAACACCCTTCCAGAGTAATGCCAAACCACCACTATGGCCAACACAATCAACATTAACAAAACCATCATAATCTAATAATGATTGTATTTCCGCAATTTTATTAGAGGCACAAAGGGTCTCAATAAGAAAAATAAAATTTGGTTTCTTGTCATTAATGATATCCTGTAAAGTACGTACTGCTTGAGGGTTGCCCAATCCACGACAGTTCCAACTTATGGTACTCATGTCAGATAGCGGGACGGACTCACAAAACCTGCCAATAGCCCCATTTTCATTCGCTTTTTTTTTTTTTTTTTTTTTACCAAATTTATCAAAATAAACTCAGCAACCAAATTTATCAAAATAACTCTCCACGAAGAGAGACGACAACTCTCCAGGAAGAGAGACGAAACAACTTCAGAACTAAAACTGCAGATGATCAGAAGCAAAAGGCAGCTGGCAACACATACATGTTCATAATTTTTGCTCTTTAGTCAATCTGTAATTTAACCAAACACCTGGCAGGCACATTGTCTATCAAAAAATAATATCGGTCTCCATCTAAAACCAAATCTCTAGTGATCGGCTTCTCTTAGCAAAACAAAGCAACAGACATCGATCTCAAATTTACCATTCTCACAATACAGAAGCAATGGCACAACATTTCAGCGACTCCAAACGACCAGACGTGATGAAACCAGGTTGATTATGAAAAGGTCCAGAAAAGACAAACCTGTGAATGAAGAAGAAAAGCACCACAGTGACCTCCATAACCAAACTGCAAAACCGCTATAGCCAATCCCATCGTCACTGAACTTGGGATCATGTTACTGCGGACATAATGTACCAACCAAGCAAAGTCATGGCTTCCTTGTCCTCTTTTCGCTGTTACATGTCTTTCCATTTATGCATTTCGTCGAACATTTGGCATGCACTTATGCATGTTCGTCGGAAAACAGTTGGCATGCACTTAGCCAGATATAAGTGCATGGCATATGAGACGAAAGACAACAAGATTCTACTGTGTTACTTCTTCATCTTGCAGTTTTGCCTGTACATTTGGAGTTAAATACTCGAGGAGCAATATGATTGGTGGCGGCCAGTGACCTCCATAACCAAACTGCAAAACCGCTATAGCCAATCCCATCGTCACTGAACTTGGGATCATGTTACTGCGGACATCATGTACCAACCAAGCAAAGTCATGGCTTCCTTGTCCTCTTTTCGCTGTTACATGTCTTTCCATTTATGCATTTCGTCGAACATTTGGCATGCACTTACCAATATATGCATGGCATATGAGACGAAACAACAAGATTCTGTGTTACTTCTTCATCTGCAGTTTTCCTTACATTTGGAGTTAAATACTCAGGATCAATATGATTGGTGGCGGGTGAAGGAAGAAGAGTATTAATGAGGAGCAGGCTAGTCACCTTGTTTTCGAGAAAACCCAAAGATTTGGATGAAAATGGTTTAAGATAACTAAAAATCCTTTATGCTTGTTGACAATCCGAGTTCTAAAGATTTATATAAGTGTTTGTTGATATTTGATCAAGAAACTCAATATAGTTTTATCAAAAAATAAAGATTAATCCTCTAGATTCAAGCTATAATCAATAGTATAGCTTAAATCAATAGTGAGAGAAAAATTTTCAAGAGTTTCTCTATGTAATCAAAAACCAACTTTAGAGTGTTAAATGATAAGTGTTTGGTTAGCCTGACTATTAAAAATAGTGTGGGTCCTACAAGAATGCTATTTTATTCATTAAATTGTATACAACTTGAAATTAAAATGTTATTCAGCCATTTTAGCTAAAGTTCATGTTTAGGGTACTAAAAGAAGAAAATTGGTTTTAGAATATAATTAAAACTACCTGCAAAGTTTAAGGTTTTTTTTTTATGTAACTCGGATGATCGTATGTTATTAAATCAAAGAAACACTGAGAATGATTTTTTCTCTCAACTGATCTTGATCTAAGTTTTGTCGATATACAAAATTTTATATGGTATCAGAGCTCAGATCTTAGCTAGATTCGCGATAATTTATTATATTGTGTTCTTCCTAATTTCATCTTCTACATCCAAAATTTTTGCTTCAATTTCCTCTTAAAATAATTAAAATTGTCATGGCTACGACAACTGAATCTGAAAGAGCTTTACATCTTGTGAATTTTGATCACCCAGGGTTAATCTTGGTCAACACACCACTCACCGGTACTAATTACCTCTCCTGGAGCATATCAATGCCCGTAGCCCTAAGAGCAAAGGAAAAATTTAGGGTTTATGCAAAGCTAACTTTGACTCTCCTTTGTACGAGAAATGACTTCGATTAGACAACATAGTAATATCTTGGATTTTCAACTCAATTTCAAAAGAAATTATTGATATCTGCTTGTATACCAACAGTAGCTTGGATTTGTAGAATGAGTTAGCTCAGCATTTTGGAGAAAGCAATGGACTAATCCTTATTTCAAATTAGGCAAGAGATCGTTAACGTTCATCAAGGATGTCCTTCAATTGCTATTTGATCATGTAAAAAATCAGATACCGTGATGGATCTTTCTCTAATAGTAAACAACAAAGCATATTCTACAATTCTCAGTGTTGAGAAACAAACAAAAGTTTATGTTCAATTTAATGAGTCAAATGAGATAACTTTTGCACTTTTAGCTAAGGCTATGCAAAACTCGAACCGATTCAACCGAAATATAAGGTTATAATGAATTTTTCAGTTTGAATCGGATTAGTCAATTTACGGGATTTATATCCCTTATTCAGTTGGGTGAATCGATTAAATACCTTGTTTAACTTGACCCAATTTGAAAAAGAAAAAAAAAAAAGAAAAAATCAATTATTTTTTTTAATTTCGTCACATAACTCTCTTTCTTTCTTCTTTTGCTTGTAAAATTAAGAATCTCAAATCAAAATCATTTTTTTTTTCCTGAAGATGGTATGTATTTTTTCTTGAGCAACTAAAATTATGATTAACTCGTTTAAGTTTTCGTGTTTTTTTATGTCTATTATATATGTTAAATACTTAATTAGGACTTTTTAATTTGCTATGGTTTGATTATGATTTGAAGATCTAAAATTATGGTTTGTGTGATTATGATTATTATGGTTCGATTGCATTATGATTTTTTTTTTATTATGAATGTTTGATGTTGATTATGGTTTGATTATTGTTTTATGATTTTTTTTTATTATGGTTGTTTGAGCAACAATTATTTTTCTAGATAATCTTTTTTTATTATGGTTTGGTTATGGATTCAAATAAAAATTTTGATTGTGCTATAGCCATATAAAAAAGTATTCAACTCATAAAAAATGGGCTCTGAATAACCCAACCTGATTTTATAGGGGGACATTCGGGTGGGACCCGAACTTTTAAAAGAGTCAGGTCGGTGAAGCCATTCCCCTTTACTTCGGGCACCCCTACTTTTAACTCAAAGGGACAATGCTAAGAATGTGAGCTCTAAGAGCAAATTAATCAAATTCAATTAATAATTAACAATATATTTAATACTTGAGTTTATAACGAGTTAATTTTATTTTTAACAGAAAATGGCCTAAACCAATTTAATTGGTTCACCCTTCTCGTTATATGTCATTTACTCAATGTGTATTTATATAACGTGAGATTACCCACATACTTCAACGGGCAACAATTACAAGAAGGTCATAAATTACAAGGATTCAAGAGCCACTATCCAGAAGAAAAAGGAGGAACAATATTGTGATTATTGTAAACGAAGTGGTCACACAAGAGAGACTTGTTTCAAGATCCATGGCTGCCTAGACTGGTTTGTTAACTGAAGCAGACGCAACACAAATTTTCAGGCACACTCTGCCCTAGCTATGTGCAGGAGATACACCATTGGATTTGGCAAATTCAATTGAAATTGAACAAGTTGACACCTTGAATAAAGGAATGGCAAATTTTACAAGACCAATCGGAAATGGAACCGTAAACTGGATTATTGACGGTGGAGCATCAGATCGTATGACATTTGACATAAATATGTTCCATACCATAACCAAATTAATTAACTAAGCCTAAAAAAGTGAAATTACCAGATGGTACAATTAAGATAGTAATTGGCAATATCCATTTAACACCTAGAATTACCCTTTACAATGTTCTTTATCTTCCAATTAAATGCCATCTAATTTCTGTTAATGCACTAAGTAGAACATCTTCAATTTCTGTTAATTCATTTATACTTGTATTTTTTTTTTTTATTATTTTAAAATTTTTAAGAAATATGTGTTTCTTTGGAAATGTAAGTTCCACTGTAAACAATGGGCTTGAAAGTCTAAGCCCATATAGTTGGGGTCCACAAAAAGACCAAAACTCAAAAAGATGCTAATAATATTCCCTCCACATGCTTCTCAATCTTAAATATGGTTGGCTATTGCCTTCTATTTCTTCCCTCTGCACAAATTCTTTATTCTGATTGGTTTTAACCATCCATTAAGCTTCCAGTTCTGAGAATTAAACATTAATGGGGTTTTCTCTTTCAACACCAAGATACCTTTATCAGGTGAGTCCTTTTCACTTCTACCGGTTAAATTCCTTCAAATTTCTTTGTTCTTCTGATATGCACTATATAATAGCACCTTATATGAAGTTACGGACCTGTTTCTAATTTTTTTCATTTTATCTATTTCCCTGTCATTTGAGTTTTGAGATTTTATTTAGCTTACCTCAGCTCATTGTTTTGAGATACATGTCAATTGCATAGAGAAAAATAGGTTGCAGGGCCAATCTGCGCATGCCAAGATGATGCATAAAGTCAACGTATATGCTGGTTTATTGATTCCAATTTTTTAACCTGTCTATGACTCTGAAGAACTTGATAACTAACTCCATACCAACTCTTGACTTTAGGAATGTTAGTAATTGGTTTATTCCAATAATTGCGGTTAATTGTGGTAGTTAATGTCTAAACATTGTCGCTGTTCTGTTGATTTTACTAATTCCAATTTTCTAAACATTAGTTGTTCTCCATTTCTGTTAATTTTAGTGTTGGTTGACATAACTTTCATATTAGCTTTTAGCTGTGTTCCTTTGAGCGTTTTGACTCATTTCTTATATTGTTCGGAAACATGGTGGTTAAGGTAGCATTTTATAAAAAATTAATCCAAGTAGAGTTTAAAGTTTAGCTTACTGATATAGGGTCTAGTCGGCAAAATTAACTGTTTTGATACCCGTTTTAGTAGCGTTTAGCTGTTAACTTTTTTTATAAAACGCTACATTAAAAATAGTTTAGCTTTTAATTAAATTTTTTTGGTAATCATATTCACTGCATTTTTACCGCACACTTCTAATTTGGACCGACTTCTAATTTAAATCGCTATATAAACAATTACCAACTAAAACTGTGTAGTATTTCTCCAGCAACAGGTACCAACCAGCTACCAACTAAAACTGTGCAGTATTTCTCCTCCAGCAACAGTTGATTAGCAGCAGTTGAAAATTCAAATGTCAAACAGTAGTTCCTAACAGCTCATCTAAACATGATTTAATATTCATATCCAAAGATACTGTAATCTTGAAAAATAAACACCACAGTTTAATCAAAAACTCACAAAATCTTATGGAAATCTAAATTCCAATAACAAATCATTTACGTTTTCATTGCATTTCATTTCAATCAAGCATTCATGAATACAGGACAAACCTTTCGTCTATGTCCTGAAACCGGACATGTATGAACATGATAACAAATTCATTCAGATCAAAGAATTATCTTAATGACAACAAATTACCCACATTAATCTTTCCAATCACCCATTTTTTTGGACATTAATCCTTCTAATCACCCACTTTTGTGGACGTTGTAAGATACAAACGACTTGAACACACTTTCTTTTTTGTGTAACTGCCAGAGTCTTAGAATCCTTTCCAAGCATTAAGAACTTCATGGAAAACTTCGGCTATCAGGTCCCTATCTGCACAATGCATGAAAGCATTGAAATCATCTCGAATGTCGAATATCTTACCAAACTTCACAAGATATCGCATACAACATGTCTTCAATTTCGGTAGCTGATACAGAGATGCACTCTGTAGCCTCTCAAGAACATTCTTTGCATCTATATCCTCCAGAAGACTTTCATGGCATGCCTCTTTCAAGTCAGCAACATCATATTTATCAGCGGCTCGGAGAAGAGCCAGACGGTGGACAAGAAATTCTTCATGCTGGATAATTCCGTAAATGTAATTGAGAAATGCCTGGCAAGCTTCAATTGACATGTCAGAGATATTTATGGTAGACAGTTCTTTCTCTTTCAAGTCATGTGCGAACATGCTCTCGAAAACAGGTGATCTTGCGGCAAGAACAGCACGATGGGCTCCAATGCTTCCATCAGAAGCATTAATCCTAATGTCTGTATGGATGCTTTCTGTTAACATTCGACCAAGGGATGCAAGAGCTGTTGCATTTGATTGCTTTTTTCCAAATCCTTCCGCCCAGATTGAGCAAGGCTCTCCTCCCTGCATTTGTAAAAAAGCAACTCAAAATGGTAAAACAAAGTAAATAATCCTCCTTCACCACATCCGAACACTGATAGTTTCCTAAATGATTAAATGAGAATTCTAGGCTCTACTTGGTTCGATTTTTGTCAGGGTACTTCATTTAAAGTTAAAAGAACTTGCTATTGCAACAATAAGAAATTACACTTGATCAATATATACGGACTATTTGTTTCCATAGAAAAGTTTTTTTCCTTTTGTTTTTTGTAACAGAAAAAGAAATACATTTTTCCCATTTCAAATACTATCATTCATAGTCTGACCAAAGACCAGGTTTGGATTTTTGCTTTAAAATAGCAAAGTAAGCAAATGAAAGCCTTTTATAAACAGGAGCATACGTCTGGAGATGCTGTCTTCAAATCAAGAAATTCAACGTCAATGATGAATTTCCCAGTTAATGGAACCTCAATTTGCCAAACAAAATCGTCGTTACTCTTGAGCTGCTTGTCTGTGATCTCTGCAGGCATATTAAATACCGAATCACTTTAAATAAAACTGAGAAATTAAACATCTAGCTCATCTTGTCAAGAAACAATAAAAATACATGAAATCTGTACTAGAAATTCATTAAGAACCCTATAAAGATAATTCTTATCTAACATTGTTTATTTCTTCAAAAGTAGCATCATTTATTTTCTCTAAACACAAGTTCTTCCAGCGGACATTGATTGATAAACTATCTTCTAAGGATGTAGAACAAAGGCAGTGAAAGAATAGAAGGTAAGCCCCAAATTTAGCTTGGAGTTCTATTCGCAGTTTACTAATTAGAAGATCATTTATAGGTTGACCTTGATAATCATAGTTTAATACAAAAAGCTCTTCTTTGCCCTTCCTTTCCTAATATATCAAGTCATAAACTTCGCGTGATAATTAAATCACAGCTTACAGTATCATATTTAAGACAGTAAGTACATATGTTCCAACTTACTAGGAAGAAAATGTAAAGCACCAAGTGGAAACACACATTTGCGCAAATATAAACACATGAACTTGAGCATTTAATTAATTAATTACCTGGATGAGTCAAGGTATTGCGGTCTCCAACAGAGCAAACAACTCGAATAACGAACGAAGCAATTGGGGGATTTTCTCTGGTAAGGTTTGATATCTCTGGGTACAATTTAACAAATAATACTTTGTTCTTCTCCACTGATAAATGCCTTCAATCCAAACAAATATGCTAAAATTCAGCTTGTAGTAAATTACAGAAAAGGCAGAGTTTGTTTTTTTTTTTTTTTTTTTTTTTTTTTTTTTGAAACGGAAGCAATTGGGGGAGTTTTCTCTGGGGTAAGGTTTGGATATACTCTGGGGGTACAATTTACAAATAATACTTTGTCTTCTCACTGATAAATGCCTCAATTCCAAACAAAATACTGCGCTTAAAAAGTTCAGCTTGTAGTAATTACAGAAAAGGGCAGATTTGTTTTTTTTTTTTTTTTTTTTTTTTTTTTTTTTTTTTTTTTTTTTTTTTTTTTTTTTTTAAAGAGTACAAAACCTATGGGTGCTTGTTATACTTTGCTTAAAAACAAAATTTGTCAGCAACGAACAGAGGATTAAATATGCAAGAACATCAAGCCCACCTGTCTCTGCTATAGACCACACCTCATATCCTATCCAAAGTTTCAGCCTTACAATTAAACATGCATTGAAAACATAAACTACCCACTTCATCAACATCCAATCCCAACACTTCTATGTATAAAAAGGGAAACAAATTTAAAACAAAAGGAATTTAAAATAAAAGAAAGCTAAACAAATTTGTAATAGTAATAGCAATTTTGTTAATGAAATCAGTAAGATTATTGGGTAATATTTCACCAATAACATATCCAATGCATAAAAACAAAGAGCGAATCAGAAAAAAAAAAAGGAAAAATAAAAAGAAGGAAAGAAAAGAATCGAACCAATTCCACTTGCCGATCTTGAAAGGATCGGATTTGCGATAAGTACAGGAAGCAAGATTGTCTATCCTCCATTGGGCAAGACGCGAAGTAGTTTCAACTTTATAAGCAGAATCGCTCATCCTAGCGAAAGCGAAAGCCGCAGTGATTTCATGGATACAATCAAATATCCTTCCGTCCAACAAATAAGCACCTGCCTTTCCCAGGTTGACTGTCTCTATCTTCTTCACTCCTCATAAACATGTAAACACAAAACCCAGAAAAAAAAATCCCAAAAAAAAAAAAAATCAAAAATCCCGCCTCCCTAAAATCTTCTGTCTTCTATTTTAACACTATCAACAACCTTCTATTAAAATTAATACGGGTAGGTTCGAACTTTAGCTTTCAATGTTTCCGGTATACGCAAGCCTATTAGTATTTCTTTACGCCATTGATGGTGAAGTTTTGCTCTCGACGCAGACACAGAGAGAGGAGAGATGATTTGGAAATGCGTTTGTTGGCTTACACTACACTTTTAGGGAAGGCGAGAGAGGGAGAGGGATTATATATTATGGAATGCTTACTTATTTTGCATATCTGTTTTGTTTCTCATACATTAATTTTAGTGCGTGTTGTGACTGTAAGAAAGAAAGGTATTCTCAAATTTTCGTGCTTTGACGCAAAGTATCAAATGCTTTGGTTGTTGTGTTCAAGTAATCAAATGATTTAATTCCAATTTACCCCCTCTATTGCTTAATAAATCTCCATTAAAAGCACAAAAATTAAAAAAATAATTAAACTTGTCATTAATATGGCACTTTACGAAAAATGCCTTCCACTAATAATAAACTCAATTTATTACCCAATTGAATTAAAAACTATATTTGAAAGTAAAAGGATAATATTACTTGGATTTTATAAATGAACATTTATGATCTGTTTCGTATGAATAGACTCAAAATATAGAATTTATTAAATGAATTCCACATTTTAAATTTTAGAAAGCTAGGAGCACAGATAGTTTTATAATAAAACTTTAAGTTGTTTAAATTTGTAAAATTTTATTAGAAAATTTCACTTTTTTTCTTATAGAATTTGGTTAAATTATATTCAAATTCATAGAATTGAATTCGTAAATTTGAATTCTTCATTTTTTAATAAACACAAAAATTTATATTTATAAATGAATTTCACAAAATTTTATGGAATTCATTTATTCTACAAATGAGTAAATTAAAAAAATTAATAAAATAAACGATTTTTAAGGAACAGAGTAAGTATTTTATCCTAAAGTTTAAGTTTATATTCTATAAATAGAGATGTATATTCGATCAAGTTTTACTTAAACCGAATTGATTTAATATAAATTAAATAAATTAAAAATAAAAATTTTAATAAATTAAATTTTATGATTTCTTTAAAATTAAAATCAAAAGGAATATATTAAATATTAATGGAAATTGAATTAAAACAATTTTTTTTTTTTCAAGGAGAATTGGAACAATTTGATTTGATAGGAATTGTATCAATTTGATTTGATAGGAATTGTAACTAGCGACATTAGCGGAATTAAGTCTTTATTATTAATTTATTATTATTTTAAAAGAGAATGGGATTGGTCCCACAAGTAGAAATATATCGATGTCTTGAAACATTTGATGATGTCATCTCAGATATTTAGGATGATAATATTTATATGTTAGAAATTAGAACCAATGGTTGATTGAGAATCCACCGTTAACATTTATGTTACAATCATACCCTTGAAGTTTGTGATATACAATAAACATGAAATTTATGTTAAAAACAAGATAATAATTCTTAATTTTATTTAAATTCAAATATGAAAATTATAAATTTATTTTCTTAATTTTTATTTTTTAAAAAATAATTATTATCAGTGTCTGGTTTTATTATACAAATCAAATGAGTCTTTAAAGTTAAAATTTCTTGCACTTTATAGTTTTCATTTTCACCTATTTTAGTATTTAATTGATTTGGGATTTTTTATATTTGGTTTATGAGACAGAAAAAGAAAGATTAATCTTTTTTTTTTTTTATCTTTTGGATGTTTGTAAACTAATAGGAAATAATTTTAAATATTTCATGTTTGGTTGATTGAATTAATTTAAACTAATATAAAAGGAAAGAATAATTTAATATTCAACTTACTATTATATCCTTTTATAACTCAACAATTAAATTTTAAAATTTATTTAAATGAGTACAATTATCTAATTTTAAAAAAAAATATAAATAGCTTAAGCAAAGGATATTTCTTATTCCTAAAATATATTAATCCCATAATATAATTTCTTTTCCAGTGTCATTAAATACCCAAACAAGAATAGTCCATATCCTACCTACCCATTCTTTCTCATTCATACTCCTCAATTAATCAACTTTTTTACTTTTATTTTTTTTTTTTTAATAAGCAATCTGATTTTAAAATTAAAAGTTCATCATTTGAGAGATATGATTCTTAAATTTTTTAACACTTGATTCCACTAACCAAAATCATGAACCCTTTTGTTGTTTTTTCTTTTAAAGGAAAATTCACTTTTAATAAATATCCAATGCTTTTATTATAGAGCATGTGTATAATATTATATAGTTAAAAGTTTAAAAGTGAAGAGAAAAAATATTACCATTTTAAAGAACCATTACATTTAAAAAAATGAAGTGATTTGATTGGTCTTTTCACTTATATGTATAGCCCATAATGTTTTTTCGTCCCGCTGAGTTTTTCAATGATTTATAAAAATAAAGGGTTAATAAGCAAAAATATCTTCATTTTTCTGAGTTATTATAATTGCACCATATTGAAATCGGGGACAATTGCACAAAATGGAAAGTTGATGGCATTTTTTTACATTTTAAACTAATTAATCAATTCATAAACTTTTAATCTTTTATTATTAGAAATTAATATATTTTAGCATAATTATTTTTAATTCTTGGATTATAGATGCTTGGAAATTAATTTCTAGATGTGGACTCAATTTTAATTATTTTTTATTATTCCTCAATTTTGCATCAAATTGATTATTAAATTAACAAATAATCACAAATATTTATTGGTTAAAAATTTTGAATTTTTATAATATATGTAATTCTTTATTTTACTATGATGTCTAACTTGTTGTTTTGAATATTTATGTAAACTGATCATGTTATAAAACAGTATAAATCTTTCAAACAAAAAGGAACATAATTTAAAGTTTTCATTTTAAATACTAATAAATTCTATTTTTCAAAGACATAATTCCATAAATATTTAATATAATGCTTTTTTTTTAAATGATATTACAAACTTTTTTCATTTAATTTTCATTTTCTTCAGAGAGATAAAACAACAATAAATTGATTAATCTTTTTAGAGTATAAAAAATATTATGAACTTTGCATGTTTTGCTTATTAAGTTTTTAATAAATTATAAAAAAATTATTGTTTATGTGTTTTGCACTACTTGTTTCATAAATTAAAAATTAGGGTTTCAAAATTGATGATAAGGTCATAGTTTAGTGGAGAACATATGCTTTTTTTACTTTTGTTTTTCCACATGTAAATAGTTTAATGAAGAAGAAAAAAGTAAGTATTGTAAGTCCAACATTGGAAAATTGTAACATGTATTTTTCTCAACTCCGATGATTTCAATGTAAGTGGCTGCTGAGTTGGCTCTCCATGATGTGCACACTTCAATTGTCTTATTCAAATAATTTCAGTTTCCTTTTTTTTTTTTTTTTTTTTTTTGTTGCGCTCTCCCATTGATGTGCACACTTCAATTGTCTTATTCAAAATAATTTCAGTTCCTTTTTTTTTTTTTTTTTTTTTTCCTTCATTGATTTAGTTTTTTTTTTTTTTTTTTTCTTCATTGATTAGGTAGTGTTTAAACATTATTCCCTTCTGTTATATTTTAATAACAATATTTCATCTTTTTACAAGGATTAAAAAAATAATTGAAATACATTGATTTTTTAAAAATATATACTAAAATGTCTAAATTATCCTTTTTGAAATTAAAAGCTCCACATTTAAATTTGGTGCAAACAACCTAATTAATATGAAACTTGGAAAAAAAAATTAATAAACTTCAATCATTTTTTAAATTATTGTGAAAAAGGCAAATGTTGCTATTGAAGTGGAACGGAATGAGTATTTCAGATGTGATTGTATCGATAAAAATAATCTGCATTTTCAATAAATTTTTACCAGTAAAATTAAAAGTTTAAACTCTAAAGTCCTAATTATTAAGATTTTATCGAAATATTATTTCGACCTGACCATGGAAATACATATGCTAACAAAAGAAATTCAACTTTTAAGTAATTTATAATTTAAAAATAGAAATACTCATGACTCCCCACGTATGAACCAAACTAATGAAATTAAAAATTTTTAAAAATTATTTCTATTTTATTTTTTTTTCTCATTGTATAATTAGAAATAGTGCTGTTTTAATAAAAAAATTTATTTTCATTTGTTTAATTTATGGATAGAGCCATGGACCCGATCTAGAAGTCTATCCCTTTCGAATTTAGCACTTATGATACGAATGTCTAAAATTTAGCTCTTAAATGTTAAGTACTTAATTTTTTTTTTTTAGGAAAATCAAATTAGAAATTTTATTAATTGGAAACTGTATACATATATGGGATATAGCTGAACATATTTTTATATTTTTGTATAGAAATTCTAAAAAAAAATAAAAAAATATAATCTTGATTTAAAATCCGATCGAATTGACAGAATATAATATTTATATCATAGGCGATCGCTTGCTCCACTTGGTAGCTATTTATAGCTACTATTTGACTCCATGGTCTTTCTACAGGTCCAATTTAGTTACCTTTAAATTTCTATATAACTATCTAAATAATAAAAAATGCTAAACAAATCACCATAATAGTGATAACAATAAATCATAATAGATGTGAGAATAAAATCCCAAGATATGGGTAAAATATTTAATTTTTCAGTTTTATATCAAACACCACATTAGTTTGATAATGGTTACGTACATATCATTAAAAGACTTTTAATTAAATAAAAAACAAAAAATTTCACTAAATAAAAATCCCAAATTGGCATACTTCAGGGTAGTTGAGCAAATTGTCTTCTCCTTTTCTACCAAAAAAAGAAAATCAGTTGTAATAATTTAGGGAGGACAATTGGTCAATTTCAGTAAGCCAATCCACCTGAATGGTCGAATCCAAATTTCACAACTCACAGCATAACACGGCATAGATAGTGAAATGTCATAAAACGACAACATAAATATTAAATGGAAGCTTTCTATATATGTATATAAATGTTCACTCTTTCTTGCAAGTTTCACACGATTATGTAATACTGATTAGTGCTTTTTAGAGCTCCAGTTTGAACCAAAATTGGATTAGAATCATATTAAAATCGATTTGGGTGAAATTGGTGTCAAAACTCTTGATTTCAAACAGACCAAATTGAGCCAGATCTAATTTTGATTCTTGTTTTAAAACTATTGAAATCATAATTAGTTCAAAACAGATAGTTTCAAATAAAAGCACTGAAAGATTAAAAAGAATTTATCAAAGGATCGATTTCAATCTCGATTCTGAACCTCAGTTTAAAACGTTTAGTTCATTAGACAAAAATTTTCGATTTAGAGACGTTTATTTTTATCCATTCTTTACAATTAAATTTGAAAAAATAAAAAGTAAATTTAAGACCAAAAAAGTTAACTCATTTATTAAAAATATACAAAATCAAATTGCATAATGAAACTTTCTTGTTTTATACATTCCAAATATCAAAATTATTTAGAATTACATGTATCATTATTGTAATTATTATCATTTTTCAGATACTTTCAAATGAATAGAAAATATAGGTAGCGTGTAATAAGAGGTAAAAATCGCAATTGATCCTTTAACTATTCGACCGAGGACCAATTTTTAAAAAAATTAATCCAATTAAATCGAAAAGAGTTGATTGATTCGATTTTTCGCTCAAACCAGAATAATCCTCACCCTAACCGTGTGAGGATTGTTAGAGAAGATTGGATTGGAATCTTGGATTCATTTGTGTTTGTGTGTTTGTTTATTGAGTAAAATAATAAGTAGACAAGAAAGGAATCTGTTTGTGGGCCATGGCAAGTAGAATCCGTTGCATCTTCCAATATTGCAAGCAATCTATATAATGACATTCCCAATAATCTTAGCCCTACACGACCTTCCCCGTCAATTAATTAGAGAGGCCCCACTTAATAAAACTATATCCAATTATTATTATTTTTCTTCCCCACTCTATTAATTAAATTTAAATTTTGAGTTTCACAATAGAAATTTAAACTGTAGTTCAGCTGTTATTTCGATTTATTGCACTTTAAATTAGAAAAAAATAAAAAAAAAATTAACTACTTCTATTAAATGTTCTGTCACAAAATTTTCAAATTATAAATTAATCAAAAAATATTCTTATATTTTTTGTAAACTTTTAATTTTTAATTAGTTTTTATTTTTTTATTTTATTTTTATAAATGATGGACTTAATAATAATAATAATAATAATATATAAAAATTCAATTATTTGATTTTCAAGTTACATTATAGCAATACACAACTTTTTATTTCAAGCATGGAATTATGCTGACTTTGGTTTATTATAAACCAATTGGAGAGTGAGGCGGCACAGAGAGTTAAAGCAAAAACAGAGCAGCAGCAGCAGCAGCTTTGCTATTTTTTTAAAGCATTGCCATATTCAATATTCTATTGTGAGCTTATAAATTATTTTTTATCATTCCCAACAAGAATTATGTTTCTGATTCTGCATTTCAAATATAACTTTCATACTATAAACCCTTTTCACACTTATTCGGAGAGAAAGAACTTGCTTAGATCGAGTTCATGACTGCATTTATGGACCAAACAAATGGAATAAGAATTTTTTAAAAAGTGTTATGACTTTGTCTCTTTTTTTCTAAAGTATATGGTAAAAAATACTTTCGTTTCAATAAGAATCCTTAATTTTACTGGTTTAGTCCATAAATTAAGCCTGAAACCGGTTTAGGTAAGTTTTTCCCCTTAGAAAAATGTACATATCTTTATTTACAAAGTTCATTTTCAAATTGTCAAATGGGAGACTGAATGTTGATTAATTACCAGGAATTGCATTTTTCTTTTTCAATCTTTTTGCATATACATAATTTCTTGAAACCAATGGAGCTGCAAAAGCATATTATTGGAACAAAATTGTGACTGAAAATGAATTGTGAAAATAAAAAACAATCTTTGTAAACCATTTATCACGGTTTAGTAAGAAATACTCTCGTGTCAGAAAAAATTAATTCTTATCGATAATGATCTATAAATGGAGTCGTATACCGGTTTAAACAAATCATTTTTCGATATAATAAAATTTGCTAAAATCTAGTATATTAGTCTATTTATGAATCAAATCATTGAAAATAGTGATTTTTTAAAAATCATATTTATCTTATCCTTTCTTTTTCTTAATAAATGGTCATAACTCATAAATACTATCATTTCAAAAAAAATTGTTTTTACTAGTTTTACTTATGAATGAGGCAATAAACCGAGTAAAGATAAATCATTCTCCTGTCATTAATACACAAATGGCGAGTTTGGGTGGCAGCCCAGGACCAATGGGCCTAATTTGAAAAGTTTCTTTATACAGGGCCTATATGTTTCTAAGATTGCCCCACCTAAACTTGTCTTCAATCACAGCCCATGAGAAATGACTAATGAGCCTAAATTTTATAATTGCAAATTAGAAATTTATGATTGCAGAGAGGTTAACAGTGTAATGATTTGCTAATGCTTAGCCTAATGGCAATGGTGGGGGTATTATGGCCAATATGTCATGGGTTCAATTATCCTTCCCATAAAAAAATAGGTCATGCCTTCAATTATCCTTCCCATCAATAAATAATTTTCAATATAATTGCATACTGCCCCTTATAGATTCGACTGCCTTTATTGGACTTTGATTTGTAATGATAATGATTCTTCATCCCACTCTCAAGTCCTATTGTCTTTCATTACATATTATATTTTGTAACCAATAACTCCATTTATGGGATTCATTTCTGGGTAGTAAAATATCTTCTATCCAAGTATTCTTCGAGCTGTATTAGCCCTAAGTCTGCTTAAATTGTAATAGATAGTAATACCCTTCCTTGTAAATGGTAACCGATTAGAAAAATAAAAAAATCCTATTGTCTTCATTCTCTATTATATTATGTAATTGATAGCTCCATTTATAAGATTCATTTTTTGGGCAACAAAATATCTTCTACCAAACTATTGTTCGAGTTGTATTATCCCAATAACTCTGTTTGGTAGCCGAGAAAGCTTACCAGAAAAGAAAAGGAAAAATAAAAACAGCACACAAAGAAAACATAGTTATATATAATTTAAATATCCAGCTAGAGCAAATCTGAGCTTGGGTTCAGCTCTACCAAAATATACATACTAATTTGCATCTCCAACCTACTAAAGAACAAAAAGAAGCTCCAGTCACCTTAGACTAAAAACCACCAAGACTTTTTTGTTCTTGCAGACCATAAGGCAACACCATCTTCTGCAGCAACGCTCTCCTAATATTCATATCATCCAACACACTCAATTCACCATGTGATCTTCTTTGTAGGAGCACCTGCCATAAACCTGTTCAAGTCAGGCATTCTTGTTCCATCTGAATGCTGACCAAATAACCTTACCTTGTGCCTCCATGTTTCTTCTGAGGCATGATTTGAGTACCCATTTGAGGCATTAACACTTTCCCTTCTAATATTAGTACTTAACGGTGATCTGATGTACCCGGGATGCTCATTCACATCTATATCGAAACTTGTTCGAGGATTCATAGTGGCCAACGAAACCGAATGATGCAGAGACTGGATTGAATTGCTCCGAAATTGCTGAGCATGAGATTCATCTGCCATGAACATCCCATTTACATTGAAATTCATTTGAGGATACATAGTGCCAAATGAAGCTGGACAATACAGAGACTTGATTGAGTTACCCTGACATTGCTGAGTCTCAGATGCTTCTGCCATATACCTTCCATAGTTTCGTCTTTGGGCTCCATCAGAGAAATGGTCCATACCTCTCTCGAATGTTTCTGAGGCACGATTGAATTGATTATCAAATACATTAGCATTTCTGGCACCGAAATCTAGAGTTGATGGCCTATGCCCCATAAATTCATTAACATTTGTGAGACATTGCATTTGGATTGGATTACCCTGATATTGATGTAGCCTAGAACTTTTGTTAACAAAATGAGGTTTTACTTTGGACTTCTTAACAGCAAATTTGAAGGTACTGCACTCTCCCAAAGGGAAGGGCTCATCCCATCTAGTGCCATTCTTTTTATCATTTCCTCTCTTGTTTTTATAACCTGCGTAGTCTTCTATCTTGAAATCAACACAATCGACTTGTTCTAAAGAGCATCTGCAAGCAAGTTCCTCAATGTTCCAGTCGCAAAATGGACGTGATGTTTTGTGTGATACATGTATTTCTCCATAAGCTCGCAGCATGCAACTAGCATTCTTGAAGAAGTGAAGCACAAGTTCCTTATGCATACTACAACATAATAACCAAAGGAAAAAGATAATGATAACGCTTCAATATTTTACTAAAAGTGCACCAAACAGCAATGAATGCTATTGACATCGATCTTTTAAATGCTAGATTATACAGCTGATACATCCATAAAAATCTACTGATTCATTGTTATAATTCTAATTACCGCAGAATTAAGAATTCCAATTAATGAAGCAAATTGTAAATTGATAAAATTTTGGCACTAAAGCTATGTTCTTTTCACATTTGGCTTTGAAATCACATGCCATATACTTCAATTTGTGCTGGAACAAGAACAACAACATCCTAACTCGTCCATTACTTTATTTCACAATTAAAAGACATCTTTAAGGAAGAAAAGCAGGAAAAGGAACAAAAAGAAAAAGGCTAAACGAAAGTATCAATAGCTTTTTCAATAACACATAATAGTAGCATCCATTCTAACATAGCTGGGATCCTTTTTGCACATGATAATACAAATAGAAATCATGTTGATAATATGTCTTCAAATTGATATCAAATCCGTTGATTAACGTAAAATCCCATAAGAACCTTCACCAACATGATAGAATCTGAATTAACCAAATATTTGAAATTGCATTTGAAGCTCCATAATGTTTCATTCTTGTTGCTATTATAATTGTCCCAAAAAAGTTTAAACTGTGGTATCATGTTTGAAAATACTACTTATTCGAGCTAGTATATATGGAACATAGAACAACCTCTAGCTAGATCACAACGTTGCCTGCATATGTAAATTTCAAGCTAATTATTGCATTACTTTAGAAGAAAAGAAAGCTTCAAGAAATTAGAGATGAATATTTCACACAAAAGTTAAGCAGCTTACTTGATGACATTGATATCATCTTCCTTTCCATTGAAGCCCGCGTGAGGGAAGTTGAAAATGATCCTATCAAATTTCCGCATCTTCAAATCTGGATGAAATTTCATTTTGGTTGCATCCACTCCATGCAATATAGTTGCTCCTAACTTCAATAGGTTTTCAAGATTTGACTTTGCATTCTTGTACATCTTAACTAAAACATCTGTTGGTCAAGAGTTTTGATAATTTAAGCAAAAAGAAAGGGAACGAAGAAAAGAGAAGAAAGGAAAGGGTGAGGGACAAAAATATAATAAACAGTAAATGGACAAGAAAACCTGAAACATTAAATTAACTATTTATAACCAAGCCTTATGCCCAACTAAACAGCTGCAAATTGTATTGAAGTCATTAGCCCAAATGCAATCTCTAGTTTGAAGGTTCAATCAAATATAATCAAAGACTCAAGTTAGGCATGACTTATGACATACAACTTATCAAACTTCAAGTTCATTTTTGTTAGAAAGAAGAGCTCGTAAAGGTTCTTTCTTGACTTCATAGAAACAGGGATTAATTAGATAGTCAAGCCACAATTGGACAGGGTAAACAAGTTAAGCAAATAAAAAAATTCTGCAAAACCCATAGATTGCTTGACATGATATGAACGGTACTCAATTCTTCAGAAAATAAAATGTATTATGTTCTATTTTACTCAGTTTTTCCCAGCTAGCTAAAGTTAAGAGCCAAAAGTACTAGCTACACCAAATCACAAGTCTTAGCTCAAATAATTAAATACACAAGAGCCAAAAGTGGACTTCACTTTTTCATGGAAAAAATTACATATATTACTATTGTTCAAATACTTTTGATGAATTAAGAACATTAAAAATAACCATTACAACCTTAACAAGAGTGAAAAAGCTACTTATTGGCACATTGATGCAAAGACAATACTACTACTATTAAAGAGGGAAATTTAAAATCCACCTACCATATGATAAAGACCCCACATGGGACATGGCCACATGGAAGATCAGCAGTTTTATTCATGGTGAACTACAGGGAATTTTACAGAAAAAGGAAATTTTCATCAAAATAAACTACAATGATAAAGAAGTTACCAAAACACATGAAAACCAAAATGATCAACAGTTGTTTCATTCCTCATGTCATGATCAAATAATAATGATGATGATGTTGATGATTCACTTAACCCTAGAAACCCTTTTGCTTCAAGAACTTGAAACACACCAAAAGAATTTCAAAAATGTCAAACATATTAAATATTAAATAAAGAAGGAAAAATTTCAAAAATGAAAATGTATTACTCATACGGAAGTATACATGCACATTACCATATGAATCAAGAGATGTAGCCACAATGTTAGAAGCAGAGCCAAAAGAGTTGGCCAAACTTGAAGAGAAAGAGAAATCTCCTTCCCCAACTAATAATATACTGTAATCTGATGAATAGTGTTTTACCCACTTTACTTCCTCTTCTTCTGCTTCTACTTCTTCAATACGCATTTTTCCTCTTTGCCTGAAAATTTTTCTTTACACTGTTACGTAGGAAAGAGGGGCTTGATCGCTTTACATGGAAGGAAAGAGTTTATTTCTTTTTTCTTTTTTTGAAATTTAAACGAGCTTTGAAAATTTTCCGCTTCAAACCGATCTTCAGTTTATTCGTTTCCATTCGGTAATTTTTTTCTTTTAGATAATGAAACTATGGAAAATAAATTTAAGGAAAAAAATCAGAAAATTAAAAGTTTAGATTGAAAAATAATAAATAAACTGCTCCTTTGATTGTGTCTCTTCGATTTTGACTTTGACTTTGATTTTGATTTTGATTTTCTTTTTTAGATTGTGAGATGATCAAAATAAAATAATAAACGGTTTTAGACCAATTTTAGACACAATAATTTGGATAAGAGACCAAAATCTAGTATTTTTCTTGTCCTGATCTTTTTTAAAATCAATTTCAATTTTAACATTTTTTTTTTAATTTTAAAAGATATTTAGTTTAGAAGAGATATATATATAATGGTTTTTTTAACATTTTGATATCTAAATTTTATTTTAAAATATTTTGTTAAAAATGTTTAATTTTGTCTATAATGACTATTAGATGTCAAATTATATATACATGTATATAAAAATGAATATATACGATAGCAACATGCGATTGGATTCTTATAAAAAAAGTGGAGTCATCACTTGTGATATAAATAAAAAATTAATATATATATATAGTTTAGGATTTTTTTATGTTCATTGATAATAATAATATTTTTTACGTATATAGTTTAGCCTTATTAAATATTTTATACTAGTGCATGTGTATTAAAAATTATAACCTTTTATACAACTTTCACCAAATGATAAAAAAATCAAACCCTAATTTTTATTAAAAGTAAAATAAAACAATAATTTTTGCTATTTTTAACTAATAAAACTATTTAATTTTTAAAAAAATTCAGAAAAATCTTAATAGATATTAAATGTCTAAATATTAAATATTTAATAAATACTTAAATTCTAAGATATTAAATATATCTATCTAAATAAAGAGATATTTTTAACTAATAAATTTTATTACATAAAGAAATTAAAAATCTTTTTTTATTTTATTTTTGCTAAAAATTGAAACTTTTGATTATTTTTTATGCAAGTTTAGGGAGATAAATTGTATATCAAGTTAATTTATTGGATAATTATATATTGCCTTCAAGTTGAGGGCAAAAAGAGAATAATTATTTCAATTTTCAAGGATTTAAATGATATTTTTGTTAATGATGGTGAGGTGGCGAAACTATAGTGGTACTTGTCGATGTAAAAAACAAAATTAAAGGAAAAGCAAGAACATTCTCTCTGTCTCTCTCTCTCTCTTTTCTGTTGTCCGTTGCTGCAGTCTTCGTCTCAGAGTAAATCGAGCCTTTGAAGCAGGGCAGAAGAGCCAATTTTTCAGGTCAGCTTTTTCTTTTTTCTTTTCTTTTCTTTTGAATGTTTCTAACGAAATCAGAGAAGCTATACTAGATCTACTTATGAGCTTTCTCGTCTTATTAAGTATATGTAAGGTATTTTCTTGTGCTACTCCACTTGTTTGATGAAATGTTTATGAGGGAAACTAGTTTTTTCTTAATAAATTAATTTTTCTTGTGATTTGTTGAGTTTCTTGTGAATATGTGAATGGAGTTGATGCTATTAATTGATTCTGCTTATTTAAAATGTAACCTAATTGGCTATAAGAGCTTTATATATTTGTGAAATGGAGATTTCTTGCCAAGGTTGTTGAGCCCTCGTTCATCACTTTCGTAGAGTCAAAAACCTTTCTCTCGGTTCTATATTATTTTGACTATTTTTTTTTTTCCGATTGAAAAAGTTATTGACTTCGCTTAATGGGGTTTTCTGAGTGTGTATCCAGAACTTTTTGGAGTCAAGTTAGCATCCAAGTGACTCTATACGACTCCTGTTGAGTGGAGATTAGTAGTGCTTTTCTTAGTTGTTAATGGTTGATAGAACTTTCAGGAATTTTTTTTTTTTTAACCAATCTGGCATATCCTTTTCCCTCTAATCAGTTTGTTTGATGCACAAACTTGTGCGTCTTTTAGCATACGTTGTTTTCAACTTAATAGAAAATAATATGAGAGAAAGAAGGAGTGAATGAAAGAGAGGAGCCTTATCCGGAGGATGACTAGTAAGTGAATAAATAGTCTTCCTTGCCAATTAAGCCTCAATGTGTTGGAGAGTTAAACTTATATTATTGGTTATGTTTTTTTTTTTTGTGAGTTGATTTATATTAGAGCATAGTAGTTATCACCTGTCCCGCTCATGAGGTAATTTTCAACCCACTATATATGTCGATAAGATACAATAGGATTGTCAGATTAATCACACAGTTGCAACTTTCAAAAATTGTTACTTTACCCGTTCCAACATTTTCTCCGTTTTCTTTTCCAAATCTGAGTTTCTCTCAAGTCTCAATCTTTATTGTTTGTTATCTTTGCGTAGATGCACCCAAAGACCAACTAATTTTTTTTTATCTTTTTTGGCCATATAAGCTCCTTAGTCATTCAAATTCGATAGACATAAATTGAACTCTTTCAATTAACTGTATATTATGGCATCAGTTGATGGTACTAATTTCTTTAGAGTAATGCTGTTGTTGAAGAGATTGAAAGTTCAACAAGGGTTTTGGATTGGGTCTACGATAGTGGTGGGATTAGGATTTCTGCATAAGATTTAACTGGCCTTTGATAGTTTGTTAGAATTTTAAGTTTTTATGTTAAAAATTGGCTCATTTTGCATTCCATGAACCATAAACTTTTTGTTGGAACTAAAATGAGATAGATAGTGCTTGGTTTTCTGCTCTATTTGATTTGTGGTAGCAGTAGATTTTCTTAACATTCTAATTTATTGTTTGATTTTCTTAATGCATAATGGTAAAATTAAATTAAATGAATCTATTTGCTCCAGATTGTTCATACACTTATAATTGTTGTTCCCGGCCGTATTTGTCATTTCAGCTCTTGATGAGGTACTAAACATCTTACTGACTCAGGAATACAAAATAGTAAAAAATAAGCTAAATTAGGTTTATTTTCATTGGCAGAACACGTTTACCCACCAAAACATGGCTGCTGGGAAGGAAGAAGTAGAGGTTCATGACAAGCTTGCTGATTCATTCAATGATCTCTTCACCAGTGTCTCCACCATGGTCAAAGGCGAACTTCAGGTCTGAAAAACTATAAACCTAATTCTCACTCTTTGTCCTATTCTATCTTCCTTTCCTTCCCTTCCCTTCCCTTCCCTCCGAATTTCAACTCTTAATACATTTGCTCCATAAGTATACTTTAATTATTATTCTTGTTTTTCATGGGTTTAGGGGACGAATAATCTGTTAGAACTTTTGGAAAAAATGAATCTAAGAGTGGCTGAAGAGTATAAAGGTTTTGGTGATGTGGCTTCTGGGTTGAGGATTTTTGTAGAGCAGTTAAAGTCAAAAAGTGGTAATTTCGATGAGTATGTTCAGCAAATTGATTTAATAGAGCGACAGGTGACTGAATTTGAGGCTGTAATTTCTATGCTTGATAAATATGTTTCTTTATTAGAAGCAAAAGTGCAATCTGTGTACCAACATCAGCCTTCATAAATTAAAGGTTCTTGTTTGAAATTATTACTTTCAACTTCATTTATCACACTGATACTGGGTGCTTTATCCGTTTTTGGTTTCATTGCTTGTTGCTTTGTCCGTTCAATAATACTGTCTAGGAAGAAAATCCCTTAGATGTGATGTATAGAAAAAATATATATATAAGCAAGCAGATCATTTATGATGAAAAGGATGAGTTCTAAGAGAATGATTCGGAGTTCTTGTAGAGTGAAACCATGCAGTATCAATATAGATTCTTCATTCTTAGGGTTAGACATTTTTAATGATCTAGTGAATATAAATCCGATGCTAATCTTTCATAATCTACACCTCCTAATTTCTCGCAAAATTTAACAACAAAAAAAAGTTCGTTTCTAAATTTTCAGCTTTCAATTTTCTTTGTTGTGATGTGAGATTGCACAATGACTTTTTTGTGAACATGTTATGGTTTTAAAAGTAAAATTAAATTATCAATATGACAAAACAAATATTTACTGTCAAGATATTATATTATTTAAGTTATTATTATCGGTTTAAATTATAAAATTATCCTGAATTTTGCGACTTGTTACCAAAAAATTATTTTGACTTTTATATTACAGACACCCTAGCTTTGAAACAATTTCAAATTTACCCTAATGTTTTAAACAAAATATTATAAAAGTGAAACCTCTAGTTATGTTTGGGTTAATTTTAACTCAAGATCCAAAACGGTGAGTTGTCATCTTTTCTTATGCGGCTCCATAAACCACACAATTGCTAACCAATCATTTTCTGGCAAATTAGCTCAACTGATATGGGCCAGCATATCGAAACTTATTTTCCGATAAACTTAGAAAATGCACTGAATCTTCAAAAGCTCCTTCAGCTAAAGAATTTAAAGATCTAAGAGTTGTTTAGAGAAAAAATTTAATCTTGCTCGTCTTCTGATTTTCCATTACACCCTCAATTATATTTTTGTAAAAGTCTGTATTTTCGGGCAAGTATTTTCTCCTTCTCTTTAATGAAATTAAGCAAATGTCGTCAAAAATAAAGACTGTGATAAAAAATATCAAACTATCAATCTACGCTCATGAGATAACCAATTTGGCTCATTATCTTTAGCTAGTCAAGTCATGGATTTGATGATGATAATGTATTTATAGAAGTCTTCACATAATCTAGCGAGTATTAATTTTTTTTCCAAGACAGTTGGAATTTTAAGATTGAGAGGTGTTGGAAAAATAACACTTTGCTAACTACTTTTGACGAGGCTAGAAGTGTAGAATCACTTTGTACCTCGGATTTGGGTGCACATGTCAAAAAAGGCAAAAGAAGATTACAACAATGGTCCAGAGAAATCGATTGTTTTAAGAATGTTCAATTTCATTGGGAATTGAAGATGAGATGGTGAAATCCATTTTAGATAAACATGGCTTAGCTGGGCTAATTTGTGCACTGCATGTGGAGTTGATGCGCAAGAGGCACTTGATAGTATTGGATTAGGTCAGTGACGATTGGTACACCAACTTGAATGCTTCAATGGAGGGAATAGTCGGGTAAACAGTAGAGATTGATGAAGGTAATAAAACTCTGCGTTTCATGGCTTTAGTTTAAGTAACCCAAGGATAATTAGTGGTCCCATTTTTATAATATTTTATTCAAAACCTTAGGATAAATTTAAAATTAGAGTACTAATATATCGGATAAACTTACATAAATACCCCAAATTATAGGACTTGTTACAAAATCAGTCTAAAATGACTTTTGTATTTCCGACATCTCCATTTTGAAACATAGATAAATTAGCGATCTAATTTAAATTGGGACCATAAATTGGACTAGAATGATATTATGGTGGGACCCACTTTTGGGTTAACTTAACCAAAATAAGCAAAACTCTGCATTTTGAGTATAATTTGATTTAATCCAAAAGTCCTTAGCTTCAACGATTATTTTTTCTTCGTTGGCCTGCCCAGATCGCGATTCTTCTTTCTCCTTCAGGGATACAATTTGTCTCTTTACTTTGTTTGCTTCATTCTACTCCCTTCGTTTTGCTTCATATCTCTTTTAATTATTTGCTATTCGTGTTTAGACTGTTATGCTGTCGATTCTCTATATCGCCATTTCAATAAACTTTGAATTCATTGTGGTGCAGGCTGCTTGTAAAATACCTTATTGGAAATGACATCTAATGGTTTTGAAATGAAATTTCTTGGCTATAACAAGTTGCTAAACCAATGCATTAGTAGAAAAGCCATTAGAGAAGGCCAAAGGGTCCATTCCCGTATGATAAAGGCACGTTACCTTCCCCCTTTGTACCTTAGAAACAGGTTGATTATACTTTATAGCAAGTGTGAGTGTTCGGATTTTACAGGACATGTGTTTGATAAAATGTCTGAAGCGGATGTTGTTTCTTGGATTGCAATTTGGTATTTATTTATTTTAACGTTCTTAGTTGGTCTTGGACCTCAGTAGAGAAACAGAGAATAGAGACAGACAAAGATTTTATGAAAAAGAAGTCAGATCTGAGCATGCCAAAGGAGAAAAAAGAATCCTTAGAGCTATGGAACTTTGGGTGAGGTCAAACTGTATTGAGTTTTGGCTAATTTGGATTTAGTTAACCTATGATTAATATCATTTTAGTCTAATTTGTGGTTCCAATTTAAAATTAGGGTGCTAATATATCTATGTTTTAAAATGGGGTGCCCTGTGTAAAAAACTCATTTTAGAGTGATTTTGGAATAAGTTCCATAATTGATGGTATTTTTGTAGGTTTAACCTAATTTATCTAAGTTTTAAAGTTGGGATGCCCGGGGTACAAAGGTCAAAATATAGTAATTTCGAAACAAGTTGCAAAGTTCAAGGTAATTTTGTAATTTAGGCCAACTATTATCTCATAAGTTATCTTTGCAAGAGAGATTTAGGCAATTGAAGAGTTACTTGTGATGAAGGGATTATTCGGTAAAATTAGTTGTTTTGATAGTTGTTAGCTGTTTGAACAGCTTTTCATGAAATTCGTGAAAATGCTAAATGTTATAGAGATTTAACTTTTTATAATCCACTCCCAACCTCTTCTCCCCTACACCTAAGGGAAAAAAAAAAAAAAAAATTCTTGTGATATGTATTGTTTGGAAAAGACCCGTATAATTTCTTTTACATGTAAATATAAATTTTAAAAAATGACTTAATATATAAAGTTTTACGATTTTAGAATGCCAAAGTTATATGAAGCCTCTCTAATTCTAATTTAAAAATGGGAGTTTCACAATCTGACCCAGCAAAAGTGATTCAAGTTACCAAAAAATGTTAGCATAATTAAAGAGACTCGTCTAAAAGACCTAGGTTTGTGGATTAATTACAATTTAGTCCTTTTGTTGAAATACAAATATAGGATCACATTATGAAAATTTGGACAGAAAAATAACATTTTATTTGGAATTTTAAATTTACAACTTCAATCTAATTACAAATTAAGGATATGAAATTTAACAATATAATTTAATGCTTATTATGTTATTTTATAAGTAAATTTGTATTCTAAAAGTGTATTTTTTTTTCTGTTGTTTGAGGTTTGTAGTCTTCTTTGGAGCTTCACTTCCTTTTTCCACAAAAGGGACAAAGAAAGATAAGATGCATTTTTAATGATATTTAAGGTTTCAATTTCTAACTGTTTCATGATATTGATGGAGTTTTATATCTATCATCGTTTAACTTAATATTCTTCTGAGCTCTGCTCCTTTTTGTTAAAATGGTGAATCTTTCATTTCTAAAATTTTGTAAAATAACGTAAACAGCTGTAGAAGTTTTGGAACTTGTAACAAAAAAAAAAAAAAAAAAAAAAAAAAAAAAAAAAAAAAAAAGAGCATATTTATAACTTTTATATAATAACAATAACAGCCTGAGCTTAGCTAGGTTTACATACTCTAATTTGGATTTCCAGCCAAAAAAAAAAAAAAAAAAAAAAAAAAAAAAATCATAAAACATAAACCAGCCAGACTTGCTGACCATACCATCTTCTGGGTAAAATTCATCGTGTGATTTTCTTTGCATAGCACTTGCCATGAACCTTGCGCCTCCATTTTTCTTCTGAGTCCGGACCACAACTTGAGTACCCATTTGAAGCATTAACACTTTCCTTTCTCCTAATGATAATTCTTAGAGGTGTTTTAACGTACCTTTCATAGTCTCTCCTGTCGTATGTTTCAGAAGCATAATTGAAGTGCCTGAATTGTAGAAATGATGGCCTACGCCCTATAAAATGATTAATCACTCTGGAGCACTTTTTAATAGCAAACTTGAAGTTACTGCAGTGTCCCAAACCGAAGGGCTCATCACATCTAATGCCATGTCCTCTCTTGTTTTGATAACCTGCATAGTCTTGAATCTTGAAATCAGTACGCTCGATTAGTGATAAAAAGTTTCTACAAGCAAGTTCCTCAATTTTCCAGTAGCAAAATGGAGATGTCGTTTTGTGAGATACATGTATTTCCCCTGTAAGGTCGCAGCAAGCTAATTGCATTCTTGAAGAAGCCTTGCACAAGTTCCCTATGCATCCTACAACATTTGTATATAATTAGGAAATCAAATGAAGAGTGTTTTACTCGATCAGATGTATAACAGCTTACTCGATCAGATGGACTTCATCTTCCTTGCCATGGAAGCCTGCATGAGGAAAGTTAAAAATGATCCTATCAAATTTCTGCATCTTCAAATCTGGATGAAATTTCATTTTGGTTGCATCCGCTCCATGTAATATAGTTGCTCCTAACTTCAATAGATTTTGGAGATTAGATTTTGCATTCTTGTACATCTTAACCACAATATCTGCATGTTGGTCAAAAGGATTTATAAATGTAAGCAAAAAGATTGAAAACCCTAAAACCCCTTTTGGTTCAAGAAGTTGAACCAAATGGGTTTTTTAGTAACATTTCACTAAACCTACACCCATGAAAACCCTAGTAGATTATCTAGAACAAACTCTAATAAACAGAGAAAGCAAAATTAATGTCAAAAATGAAAACTTTACTACTGATCATATAGAAGTGGCGACATGCAATGCACGTTACCATATGGATCAAGAGAAGTAGCCACAATGTTAGAAAGAGAAATCTCCTTCTCCAATTAACAGTATACTCTGATTTGATGAATAGTGTTTCACCCACTTCGCTTCTCCTCCTCCTCCTTCAGTACTAATTTTTCTCTTTGCCTCTTCATTGGCCATTATAGGAAAATTTACAGTAACTGAGAATATATACATATATATACAGAGAAAGGAAAGGGATTTGTGTCTCTTCATATGGAGAGAGATTTTTTTTTTTTTTTTTTTTTTTTTTTTTTTTTTTTTTTTTTTTTTTTTTTTTTGGAAATTTGGATGGCTTGATGAATTAGCTTCCATAGCTTTGTCTTTTGTGTTGGACTTTGCCAAGTGATAAGTGAGCTATTTTTTTTTTTTTTTTTTTTTTTTTTTTTTTGGAAATTTGGATGGCTTTGATGAATAGCTCCATAGCTTTGTCTTTGTGTTGGGACTTGCAAGTGATAAAGTGAGCTATCTCAAATTGCAGTAACGCTGAATAGCTCATACATAAATAACAAATTAAATTTTAATGAACATTAATTTTTCGGTTTATAAGGGATAAGTGAATCAACTCAAATGATCCTAATTTTTTTTTTTCTTTATTTGTGACTCGTAATAATTTATTCATATAAGTTTATTTATTACCATGATAAGCTAAATCAAACAAGTCCGTGGGTCTTCTAATTGGATCAGTTCAACTCCAGGTCCGGATCGGTCCAGCTCGAAACCGCATATGGCGGGCCTGCCTGGCCATTGCGATGCTCAATAGCCTCATACTAATTTTAATTAATTAATTATTATTATATAGTCGATCAATTAAATATTTTCCGGCCCCAATTTTTTGACGTTCAAATATATTTTATTTTCTATGGCGTCTTCTGCTTTTGTCGTCGTTGAGAAAATGTTATTATGAGACCATCTCCGATTTTGTCATTCTCATTCTCCAGAATCCTCAGCTTCAGCTACACAAAAACCATGTCTGCTGCAATCTCCCCTTCTCTTCGTTTGTTCACCACTAAAATCCCAATCTCTACTCATTCAACTAAATACATGATCTCTTCTACGAAACCCACAAATCAATCCTTCTTTATTTTTTCAAAGCCCATTTCTTTTCAAAAAATCCCAACAAGAACGCAACCTTCACTGTTTGCATCGCCGCCGAGCGCTGTGTCTCTGCAACCCATTGAAGAACTCCCTCCGAAGCTTCAAGAAATCGTCAAGCTGTTCCAGTCCGTTCAAGAACCTAAAGCTAAATACGAGCAGCTACTTTTCTATGGAAAAAACTTGAAGCCACTCGATGCCCAATTCAAAACGAGAGAGAACAAAGTAGAGGGTTGTGTTTCTCAAGTCTGGGTTCGGGCATATTTAGATGTGGACAAGAATGTTGTGTTTGAGGCTGATTCGGATTCGGTTCTTACGAAGGGGCTTGCAGCTTTACTTGTTCAAGGACTTTCTGGTCGGCCAGTACAAGAGATTTTGAGGGTTTCACCAGATTTTGCGGTGCTTCTTGGGTTGCAACAGAGTTTGACCCCTTCGAGGAATAATGGGTTTTTGAATATGTTGAAATTGATGCAGAGGAAGGCACTTGAGTTATATGTGGAGGCTGAGAAGGGTGGCGGGTCAGATCATGGGTCGAATTCAGGGACTGATGGCAGTGAAGATTTGAGTAACAAAGTAGACAGTGTTAAAAACGAAGTAAAAAGTGCAAATTTAGAGTCAAATGATGATGTTGGTGTTGATAGTTTGAGTATGGGAATGAATTCGGAAGTTGATAATTTAGGGAGCAGAGGGAAAAGAATTAAGGAGATATTGGAGAGAGAACTAAAGCCAATTGAATTGGAAGTGGAGGACATCTCTTATCAGCACGCAGGGCATGCTGGTGTGAGAGGAAGTGATGGTGAGACACATTTCAATTTGAGAGTTGTATCAAAAGAATTTGAAGGCAAGAGTCTGGTAAAGAGGCATAGGCTAATTTATGGTTTGTTGCAAGAGGAATTGCAGAGTGGATTACATGCGCTGTCAATTGTGGCAAAGACACCAGCTGAAGTTGATGCAAGATGAGGAGCTTACTTGGGCTAATATGTTCATTTTATACCTTTCTTGATTCCATTTAACGAGTGTAATGGAGATTTACCTTCTAGGATGCTACATGCAATGTACCTGTAAGTGAATGAAAATGAAAAGGGTGTTAAATTATGAATGCTTCTTTTGAAACTTTATAATGCTTTAATGAATCACATACTGTTAAAATTTTGAGAACTTGTGGTATATGTTTATCAATAATTTTGCACATATGCGGCCATAGCTTTCTTTTTTAAGTCCTAATTACCCAAATGTTTTGACTTTCGAGTCATATAATTAACTTCTGAATTTAATCAGCAATGTAAATCTTGATTTAGCACTAGGAATCCCTATCATTAGATAACAATTACCTCTTTGTAGATTCGTTTTCTTTGTTATTATGCTTTGGTTAGTTTCAGTGCAAGTTCTCTGGGTTTAATATCACATGTAAAGTAATTTGAACCATTTGCTGGGCTTTCTATTCTCAGAACAAGGGGGTGGAGTGACTGACTTGCGAAGAAAGAAGCTAAAGGATGGATGAAAGAGAAGGTGTTCTTGGCTAGAAGGCAATAATATTGACATGCAAGTGGTTTGATGAACAAATGAATTGGAAGAAAGCTGGAAATTCTGAGGATTAGGTGAAATGGAAACATATATAAAACATATGGGAGTTGGTAGTAGGAGAGAAGAGGGAGCGGAAGGGGGATCTGTTAGTGTGGAGGCAAGGTACCCATTACATGTGATAGATGGATTAATAGCTTCCGATAGTATTCTTATGTGTCTATCATCTTTAGTTCTTTTCTGGTGAAAAGGAAACATATGTGTACTGTGTATAACACTATTTACAACAGCGCTATTTACATCATAGATATTGAAGTGGATTTTAGATATTGATTTGTTCTGAAGTTTGAGATCCAATGTATAATTTGTCTCTTGGAACTTTAGCAGAATGGATGAGATTGAGGCAAATTTTTAAAGGTCAAGTACTCATTACAGTGCAAATTTTGCACTTTATTAAATACATTTATACATCTCTGTATTAGTTACAAAAGAAATAATTAGAATGGAGATTCTATTTTATGCATGAGATATTTGTAATTTGACTGCTTCACAGCTCAAGCTTTGAATTTTATAACATTTATGTGCTAAGTACTGAAGAAAGAAATGAGTGTAGATGTACCGGAATCCATTGGCAGGTATCTCCTAGACCCAGGTAAATGAAATTGTGAACATGCTAGTCAAACATCCTAATCAGTTCCAACATATGATGTTTAATCTATTTGCTATCATGTGCTAATTGAGATAGAGTTTTTAACCATCCCAAAAAGTCTCTTTTATATGCTTTTGGTGACATGTGGTGTTATTTTGACCTGGAACTATGAATGAATTTTTAGTTCCTGAAGATGTATTTGGCAGTGTCCTTGTCAGATAACAAGTTTGATTCCACAGGCCATTTTCACTGGCAACTCAACAACTTTGATGATGCATAAAGCAACAGAATTTTGCATTTATTTTTATGTGTAATAGCATGAGACAGAAATTGCTGTTCACTCCATGCTTGTATTGTAATAGAAGTTTGACGGTTAGGGACTTCTTATGTCAGTTAAAGTACTCTCTTATATTTAATTTTGCATTAATTATCCTCTTATACTTGCAGCTTCTCTAATTTGATTTGGAGGAAGATTTTGCTGTTAAATTACATTTATAGATTAATTAAACATTGGAATTGGAAGTTCGTGTAAGCTGTGAGTAATCTTAGTGGTAAACTTATTAAATTATGTTGTTCCTCAAATCTTACATTAATCATTCTATGGGGAGCTAGAAATCCTGTACTCCTTCAAGGTTCATTCTAGCTCCTGTACTGCTTCAAGGTTCATTCTAGCTCCTGTACTGCTTCAAGGTTCATTCTCTAAAGCTATTAAAATATTTAAGATTACTGCTGATGATGAGATACTGGTTATGGTTATGGGATTTCTTGATCTTATAACAAGGGTATTTAACATCTCTTTAAGCAATTGTGTTATAGATGAAGAATTAGTCTCTTTCTTTAGTCTATTTTCTTCTACATTCTAAAGATAGCAGTTTGAAGACGTGAAGTCTGATCAGCGGATGCCCATCTCATCTATAAAAAAAGCTAGTGGAAGCGCCATTTCTTTTTGAACTGATTAGAAATTCCGGGAAACTGTTCTAGATAAAGCATGGCTGCTCGTGTTAGCTGTTTTTGTTATGCATTTTCGCTTGTTTTGCTGTTTTTGCATCTGTTATTTCTTGAATGTCTGCCTTGTAGCAGGTTCATTCCCCTTGCATTGGTATGGTTTTGACTTTCGAGAAATAAAATGGAAAAAATAAAGTAGGGCAAAGAAGGGTAAAGGAGAAATTAGTATAAGATTGACTGGTAGATTTTGTGCTTCAGGTCCGCCCATCTGCTTGAAAATTTTCAAATGCTACATACATCCTCCCTTATAAGGGCACAAGTGAACTGGATATAGTTCCTAAAAATGTGTAATTTATACTGTTCTGTAAATTCTGTGAAAGCTTCTATAATCAAATTAGACAAATGTTAACATTTTTCCCTGAAAATTTTCCTATCATGATTGTCAAATTTACTTGCTTGGAAACCTTAAGCGTTAAGCACGTACATAGATTCCCTAGTTTTATTCTACATGAATAACGCCAAAATGATTTTATTCAGAATCGAAATGAAAGTACTGGCACAAGTTCTACTGGATGCTGAAGGGAGAGCACCAGATGCAAGTGTAACAATTCTAGAGAATGTCTGCTATGTGCTAGCTGAGGAAAGAATACTTTGTTCTCATTCAAGAAAGCTTTTAGCTTCGAGATATGTTGATATCAAGCAGAATGGTGAACGCATCTCATGGTCACCATGAACCCAGCTTTAGTTCCTTGGATGAATTGTGCGATTGCTGCACCTGCTTACAAGTCTTCTATTTTACTGGTATCTGCTGTTGGTCTAACCCATAAGGCTATTGAAGTCTATGTGAATATTGGTTTTCCTACTAGATTAGGAAGTGTAGTATTGCAACTTTTTGAAGTTTTTGTTATAGAGTTTTGAGAGTGAAACCTCTAGTTAAAGATGGCTAGCTATTATTATTATTTGAGACTGCTGGGAAGAGCTTGAAAACTAGAAGTAGCCAGAATATGAGAGATGCCAGTGGCTGCAACTGAGTTGAAGGTTTGTGAATGTTGATAAGTTATATTATGTTTGTTGGTGAAGTCTCTTTTGTTGAATAAGCTTGGTTGACCGTGCTGATTGAGTGTCTGATTGATATTCAACTTTCAGACAATGCTAAATTATGACTTTAGATATTCAAATAAGGGTTAAGAATAGATAGTCTTCACCAAAATCTTATTTTTCTTTGTTGGTCCTGCGATTACCTTCAGTAACTAAAACTGAAATAATTTCTTGCGTACTTGACTAGGTAAAAAATAAGTGTGATAGTGCTGTGGAATTTTAATAGAGATGTGCTTGGAACAGTTGCTGCAGACCTTCTAGTTCTGAAGATTCTGAATTTATTCATATAAAGAAAAGATGGTAAAATACATAACAAATGATAAAGTAAACAAAAACAATAATAGGGAATCAGTTTAAGAATCTTTGTTGATCCTTCTTTGGATCAAACTGGTCCTTTCCATATTTGTAGGTTCATGTGCTTTGAATCATAAAATTTTCAAATTGCTTGGGATAAAGATAATTAGAACTTAAAATTTTGAAGGAATCAACTGCTGTTCACTTGATTTGTGGTGTTATCTTGTCCCATGACTGGAGTGCTCCATCTTTCTTTTTCATTTCTTTTCTTTTCTTTTATTGGTATCTTGAGTTCTGGACTGGAATTTTACTGGGCTCATCACGAATTGCCAGAATAATTAGCAAATTGATGACTTGAAATGAGACTATTCTGTACCTTTGCTAGCATCAGGCAATTTGAATTCAAATTTTGTATTCAGATTTCAATTGAGACAAAGTAGGAAAAATAAAAGTGAAAAATATGTGCTTTCTTTATCTTTTTGTTTTGCAACTCCGGGCTACTAGAACCCCGGTTGGTGGACCTGTCATCTCTATCTCACATCTTCCATGCAACCAGTATGAATAATGGAGCAAACCCAGATTAGCTCTCACTTTGAAAGTTCCTCTAATGTTATAGATGACTTTGTTACTCTGTACCTGCTTTTGAAGTTCTATAGCAAAATTATGTGGGAGATAGACCAAACTTGATATGATATGAACTGACTCTAGCCTTGTTTCTCGTCGCCTTTGTGTGAAAGGTTGAAGAGCTTGAATTCCTATCAGTCTGTCATAGAAGTATAGCTCTATCTCCGCATACTCAAATCTAACATCAATTTTCTGGTTTGGATTGGAAAAATTTGCTAGGAAGGTAAGGTCTCCGTTGAAATACTCCGGTGAGTCGAAGTAAATAGTGTTCAGGTTTGCATTTGGAGTGTCAAAAACCGGGCTTCTTGGTTTAATTGAAAGGTATATAATCAAAGTTGCAATACCAAAGAAGATTAGAACAAGACTGAATATGAGACACAAAATAGCACCAAACCATACAATTGGGTTGGTCCGGCGAGGCCGAGGGTGGTGGATAAATACTGGTTGCTTTCTTGATCTTTTGCTCTCAGAATTTGGTGGTAGTAATAGTGCTGTACTTGTTTGGCTTCTTGCTGCTTGATTTGATGTTTTTTGATTTTCAGGTGGTGGTGATATTATTGGTACTGAGGATTGTGGAGGTGGAAGTGGAAGCATCTTTTGACAAGTAAGTAAGTAGTATTGAGGGAGAAGATAGAGATTGGAAAATTGTAGTTTCTTTAAATATTTGGGATATGGAAAAATTGAAAAGAAAAGAGAGAGGCTTTTGATTTATGCAGGGGTAGAATGGGATGGGACCCTTTGGTGTTTTTGAGAATGGGAAAAGCAGGTTTAGGTGGATTTAAAGTTGGAAACCCACTGATGTTTATGTTTGAATTGCCTTTTGCTTTTCTTTTGAAATAGCTTTTTTTTTTTTTGGTTGGGTTCAGTTGTTTAGAGCACTAAGGCATTTGATGTGAACCCCTGCATTGGCGCCTTCTTGCTTGTTAAGAAAACATTTCCATGAAAATGATATATATATATATATATTATCCAATTAAGCCTCTTTTCTCTTTGACAAAAAATAATTTATCTCAATAATAATGTCAGAGTTTTTTAATGTTTGGAGTGCTTAAAAAGTTCAGTTCAAGAAAAATATTTTTACAATTAAAGAGCAAGTTAGTAATTTTTCAAAAAAAAAAAAAAAAAAAAAAATGGGAAGCAGGGTTTTAGGTGGTTGTAAAGTTGGAAACCACTGATGTTTAATGTTTGGAATTGCTTTTTTGCTTTTTCTTTGAAAAGTTTTTTTTTTTTTTTGGTTGGTTCAGTTGTTTAGAGCGACTAAGGCATTTGATGTTGAGCCCTGCATTGGCGCCTTCTTGCTTGTTAAAGAAAACAATTTCCAATGAAGAATGAATATTATTTATACTATTAATCAATTAAGCTCTTTTCTCTTTTGGACAAAAATAAATTTATCTCAATATAGATGTCAAGAGTTTTTTAATGTTTGGAGTGCTTAAAAGTTCAAGTTAAGAAAAATATTTTTTAACAATTAAAGAGGCAAGTTAGTAATTGTTTCAAAAACAAAAAAAAAAAAAGAATTACAAAAAAAAAAAAAAAAAAAAAAAAGAAATTACTGGTATTAACCATTATCAATCATTGCTCGTTACTACTAGTGACTAGCCACCACATTCAATAGTTGACTATTGCTATAATTTATTATTTTTATGTGTTTTTCTCATATTTAATAATATTTTTTAAGATATGGAATTTTTATAATTTTAAATATTTTTATAGCCTTATAAATTATAAATTATAGTATTTTTAAAATGATTTTCAATATTAGAACCAAATAATACAAAATAAGTTGTTATAATTATATTTTCTAAAGGTATGTTATTCTCAAGAAAAAAATAATTATATCTTGAATTAGGGCTCATAGTTTGATAAAATTGATTGAACTAATTCAATCAAACCGGTTCAATTTGGTTAGAATTTCAACACATTACAAACTAGGATTAAGCATAGTTTTTCTTTTTCAGTTTATTTTTCATAAAGTCCAAATCTATTTTAAAATAGCTAATAGACAAATAGCCTTATAAATTATAAAGTAGATTACAAAATAATAACTACGGTTACTAATATTTTGTAATTCTTCATAGTAACTCTAATTGCAAAAATATTATAATATTTGTACAAATAAAAAGATTACACAGGCCACAAGTGTGTGTAAATATATAATCGATCTGTAAAAGACAAATATATAAATTATACCAAAAGCAATTAGCATGGTGAGGAGAGAATTAATTGATTAGAATACAAATTATAGATGCATAATTAAATATTATAATCACCAGCCCATAAATAAAAAATATCTGTAATTAATTAATACTTATACCCTTTAACAAACAAGCTTTCAGAAGCCAAACCACCAGCACCACCTCCGGTGTACTTTCCAAGAGTTGCATCAGAATTAGCTTTGCACCTCACCAAGAACGTTTCTTGTGCTTTTCCCACATTTTCTTTTTTCCCACCCCATGTTTTCAGTGTACTTTGTTGCAGAGCACGCCCAAACGAGAATGATAAAGTCCATGGCTTTAACACTGGCAGCTTATTCATCGCATTCAGGTTTAAGGTTGCCTCTTCTTCACTTTGGCCTCCGGATAAAAATACAATGCCTGGAACTGCCGGTGGAACTGTTCGGCGTAGTGCAGTAACTGTGTACTCTGCAATTTCCTCAGGAGTTACCTGTACATTGAGTATCCTATTAGTTGGTACCTGGTTTGATTATTATAAACTCCGCCTTATATAAAGATTTGATTTATCCTGATAAGTTTGTTCTCATATAAGGTTCAAGAGGGTACCTTAGGGCTATCAGAACCAGGAGTAACCATATTAGGCTTGAGGAGTGTGCCTTCGAGAAGGACATGATGATCGTTCAATGCCTTGTAAACTGCTGCAAGAACAGTCTCAGTCACAGCAGCACATTTCTTAATGTCGTGAGGTCCATCAGTCAAAACTTCAGGCTCTACGATAGGCACTAACCCATTTTCCTGACAGATTATTGCATAACGAGCCAATCCCTGTGCATTCTGCTGAATTGCCAATTCTGAGGGCTCAGTAGGTCCTATTTTAAGTACAGCACGCCATTTGGCGAATCGGGCACCTGCCTTATAGTACTGCGCACAACGGGCTCCAAGCGAGTCAAACCCTTGCGTTGTGGTTTCAGAATTAGTTCCTGCTAATTCAACAGTGCCCTTGTCAACTTTGATTCCAGGAATGACATTGTTTTCTTGAAGGACTTCTACGAAGGGTTTTCCATCAGAAGTTTTCTGGTAAAGGGTTTCTTCGAAGAGAATGACGCCGGAAAGAAAGGGAAGGGCGTTTCCACAGGTGAAAAGGAGCTCCCGGAGAGCTTGGCGGTTTGACTCTACATTTTCAACATTTATGCTAGCTAGACGCTTGCCAATCGTGCCTGTGCTTTCATCTGCAGCCAAAATTCCCTTCCCTGGAGTGGCAATGTACTTGGCTGTCTTGATAAGCTCATCTGGAAATTAATATATTAACAAGCTACTTTAATAAAAAATGATGCTGAGTCTGCCTCGGAAATTAAATTAATGTAGAAGAATAATGAAATAAGAATACTAATATTTGTTAGTAACATTCTCCGGTATAAAATACATTGATTGATCACTAATCAAGAGTATTTTAAATAATAAAATACGCTTGAATTCATCAGACGGTCTTTATAAATTTAAAATTCGATTCATGAAAAAACACTTATCGAAAAGACAGTTACAAACTGTGAAACGACATTATTCTCTATATCCAAAGAGTATTTAATTTTGATAAAAAAATAGCCATGGGAATAAAAAACATTAAAAAGAGAGAGAGAGAGAGAGAGAGAGAGAGAGAGAGAGAGATAGAGAGGGGAGACAATTACCAGCATATTTTCCAACAAAGGCAGACATGGTTAAGAGCTTAGAAGATATTGGATAGTGAGGAATAGATAGAGGACGAAAATAAGAAAACAAAACACCACAAGCATTTATATACAAGAGATGAGCTCCTACAAAATATACCAAGAGAATCTATCAGTCCACGTGTCAGCATATCAGCCCAGCAGAGATTATCATTCTTGGATAAAGCAGTGAGTGATTGTTCTCTAAGCCAAGTGGCACGCTATCTGCAATTTATCCCGAACTCACATCACATAAACCCTGAAACTAATGTGTGGAAAAGCAATATCCATCCCTCATCCACTCCCTCCTCTCCTCCCTCTAAAATTTGAAGAAGCTTATAAATCATTAAAAAAATTAAAATAAAATAAAATAAACTGTCCAAAGGGTAATTTTTGGATGCTACAGCCACTACTTAACCATCCATGTCAATGTCTCTTTCAGTTCTCGTACGGTGCATTCTTGGTTTCATTCATTTCATGCACTATTATATAACGAGAACCTTAAAGGGATATTCCAACTCTAGGGCATCAGCGATGCATAAGAATTCCCACAGGGTTTTTTCTTTTTTCTCATAAACTTGGACAGTTATCAGATATTAATCTATTATTTTTAATATTCGATAACTTAGTATTTAGAGTTTGATTAAACGAATCATGAAATATTATTTCCTTTAACGTTTAATACAGCTATTTATAGAAATTTGAACTCAATCAAATTGGACAGAATATCTCAACATTTGAGATTATTTTAATAACATCTTTCAAGCTCAAACTTTACATTAAGCTAAAAAATTTTGTTTAAGTTTGGGTTATTCTATTCTCGAACTAGCTTCAAACGTTCATTACCCTATTCAAATAATTGAAAAAAAAAGTATAAATTTTGAAATAATTGTTTCCACTTAATAATAATATTTTCTCTTAATATAATTACTATATATTAAATTAAACCCCAACTAAATGGTAATTTGCCAAAAATTATACAAAACCAGAAAGAAAAAGGAAAAAGAAGCATCAAATGTGAGTAGACATCCAGGATTTGCCGATATATTTATAGTGGGGAAGCTGTCGAGTATTCAGTTTCTAATTATAGTAGAAGTTGAAGAAGCAAGATTAAAGAACTCAATGTGACAAAAGATGAGATGGAAATTGTGGGTTTAATGAAGTCAAAATTTGTTGAAAACTGAAATTGCAAAACTCAGCACATAAAAGAGTATAGCCACTCTAGTTGATTTGCCCCCCAGTTGCTTATGGATAGGCTCTCAATTGATTAATTTTTTAGGGGCCACTACTGGTTGGTCATCGTCATCCGTGCCAAAATATCTATCTCCGAATTCTCCCATGCCAGGAATGACACGATAATCTTCATTCAAACCAATTTCAATCTCAGATGTCACGATCTTTATTCTTGGAAATCTTTTGCAAACCACATGCACTCCTTGAGGTGCCTGGCAAAATAAACAGCATGTTTGCACTGAGAGAAGTTTGAAAAGAAAATGCCTCGTGAGAAGTGGGTTAAAGATGTATTTACAATGACGCGTTAATACCAAACTAGTTGGAGTTGGCTATATATATTTAAAAAAAAGCTCAAAAAAGCTGTAGTAACTTACTGATATCAGATTAAGAAATATAATGTTGGGCTCTGGGACACCCTTGCTGATTAGTAAAGAGATAGCTTGAACAGCTGAGTTGCCTGAAAAGTTGATGTTTTCCCTTGAATTAGCTTCTACCATTCACAAACTTGCAATGACATCTAAAAGCTATACTCTTGATGCATGCACGAATGCACCTCTTAAAAATGTATGAAACAAGTGAAACGATCAATAAAGATTGGATGAAGGCAGCATTATGTGGGAAAATTGAAAAACTTCACGAACCTTGGCAAAAGTAAAATATTTATTATAGAGAGAGGGAGTGGTTGAGAAGAAAGAAAAAGGTTCAGAAACAACCTGTTCCAAGAATGGGATCCAATAGCAACACATGTCTCTTTGAGATGTCTTGTGGAAGTTTTTCATAGATTAGCTGCCAAATTGTTAAAGCAACAAGCAAATCGTCAGGGACTGAACAGTTCAAAGAACCATAATGATGCACCTCCATAGATACAAACAATCAAAAGTATAAAGAGAGAAGCCTCTACAAACCTGCTGGCCATTGTCACCTTCCCTATGAATAAGAATCTTCCCAATCTTGATACCTTTACAACATGCTCGCAATGCATTCTCCATACTCTCACCACTGGGATCAGTTTAGGAGAGTATTAGATTAGTTGTTTTGCATGTAATTAATAAAAACCAGCTGGAAGAATCTCATAACATGTAAACGAATTTAAGTGAATGTTAGCAAAGCTGTCACATTCAGGGACCATGCATTCCAGTTCAGATATCCTAATTCACTTTAGAATAAGCCATAAATCATGGGTTTACACATTTTATTTATGACAAAACTCGCTTGAAAACTTAAATGAGCCACTCATAGTAACAAAGGAAATAAGTCAGTTTCATAATTTTCTTGTATAAATATTTACTCTGAACTTTACTACAACTATACAACTAGAATTACGGCAAATTTGTAGTCCTTGCAGATAATATTATATCATGGCCAAGTGTGATAGAAAATGCAGCGTAATGAAAAATACTAGTAAATCATTATTTTAAACCAAGCCAAAGGGAATGCAAAAATAGTAGGTAAAACAAAAAAGGGAAAATATTAATCTCAGTATCTCAAGCTTCGTGACCATATCAGTACCTCCTAATAACCGAGACACCACATAACCTCTTACAGAAATCGACACCAGAGTATACAGATCCTGCATTTCACACCAAAAAAGGAATTGTAGAAAAAAAAAAAAAAAAAAAAAAAAAGAGACAGTTCCAGATAATTATAGTTTCATAATAAAGAGAAGCAAGCTGAAGCATTAAGCCAAAAATGGCAGCAAAAACAAACAAGAATATAGACATAATATTATACGACTTTTCTCCGGATAGGTAAAACATTACGATTTATCTGTTATTAAAATAATAATAACAAATAAAGTCACATCTAAATGTTTCATTTTCCTAACACATGAATCAAGAAAGTAGAGACTGCACAACTTCCAGCATCTTTCAAGAGCAAACCAGATCTAAAAAAAAAATAAACGAAAAGAACTTTGACTACAAATATAATTAGGAATAACTCATGTATGGAGTACGTGAAGATTGCAACAACAAAAAAAAAAACAGTTCAGCAAACAGATGTCAACATGCCCATCATTAACAACACACTATAATTACCAAGAAAACAAGAAAGACATAAAGCACCTTTTATTCATGGAAAATACAATAAGCACAAGATAGTAAATGTAACATATCCTTATGGCTCCTTTCACATTCAGAAAATCCCATAATCAAGATCTACACATCCCATATGATGCGTTAAGTAGCTGAGAAGATCAAGTGACATCAGCTTACCAGTGGGAGTGGTCACCTGCTTTTCTGTAAACGGCAGATGTCCCAGACCATGTTCTACAACCTGGCAAAAGTACAAGAGAGTTGATGAATAAAAACCTCAAACAAAAGAAAAACATTTTGCACAATGGTTTCAACTTAACAGTAACACCAACTTTAGTCTAAAATTTTAAAAAAAAAAAAAATGGTTTACCAAACGAATCAACCGATCAGCATAAAAAACAAAGTCATGTTTTGTTGTTTGTGAATCACGAATAAGAGTATGCATACCGCGTATCTGCATGACAGAAATGACAATTAGTGGATCTCAAGATCAAAGAAGCAAAACCTACTGGATATTGAACCAAACAAATTGCCAACATATGCTTCAATCAAAACCTAGCTCCACAAAAGATAGATATCTCATTGTTAGGTAGAATTAATAAAGATGAAGCCATACCTGAAAAGTTGATTGAATGACATATAAATTAGGATATATTTTACACAGATCATGTTGACCAAGCTTTGTTCGAATATGCTGTACAATCAAATCAACAGCTACATGATTATCTCCTCCACGAGGAATTATTATATCTGCATATTTCTTTGTTGGAAGTATGAAGTCATCAAAAGCTGGCTTCACGAATTTGGAGTACTGCATAAAAATAACTGTGTCAAATTTCTATTAAAAGAAATGGGTAAGACACCATAATGGTAAATTTTCTTATATATAAACATAAGTGGTTTATAAGGTTGAGTCAAACTCAAATATTGTATATTCAATGCAAATAAAATTTATGATCCCTTGGCCCCTAAAGTATAACCATAAATCTAGTAGCTAAATGGTAAGAGAGCTTATTCAGATGTCCCCTTTGTAGCCAATTCTTGGTTTGAACCTATCACTTATTATGGATAAACCTCAATTTGAGAAAAAGGATCAACTCTCATTATTCCCCTCGTTTGTGATACACATAAACAGTGGACTAGTTGAGAGGAGCAATTTGAACCCTGTTTTGAGATTGAGTTTTTAGATGTGTTTCTCCAAGAAAATTGCTTCATAGTTCCATCTATGTTTTTTTTTTCTCCCCATTTAAGAAACCAAACTGCAAAACAGTAAGGAAAAGAAGAGAAATCTAAGGGTGTGTTCATTTGTAGAAAACTGGAGTAGTTTTCTAGAACAGTTTTCCAAGACAATTGAAAAATAGAGTTTTGTGTTCAAATCATTCAGTTTTCTTTTGCGTTCAAATCATTCAGTTTTCTATTTGGAAAACTAGAAAACAGTTTTCCAGTTTTCCAAAATTTAACTAAGATTTAGAAAACAGCTTTAAATTGTTTTTTCAGAGTTTTTTTTTATAATAAAAGACCTATTTTACAACTGTTTTCCACTTTTAAAAAATGACATTTTCATAATTAAAATTATAATATCTATAAATAATTTTTCTATAAAATACTTTCATTTAATAATAAAAATATTTTGAATAAAATAAGAATTTATATTATGCTTTAATAAATAATTAAGTTTATTACTACAAATACATTATCTCCTTTATTTTTAAAAAAATTTACAAATTGATAGAAAATGATATTATTACTATAAATAATCAATAATAAAAATTCAAAAACTTTTACATAAAAAATTTCTAAGTTTATTTTATAACATTTTATTTCTTTTAATTATGAAAATTATGAATAATGTTTGTGAAGTTAAATGTTTATTTTATAACATTTATTTTCTTTTAATTATGAAATCGATGAATAAATAGTTTGTGAAGTTAAATTAAAATATATTTTTTATTTGTTATTCAAGTGAACGAAATTTTCCATTTTCTGTTTTCTGAGTTTTCATTTTTATAAAAAAACTGTTTCTTAGATTCAAAAACTTTTACATAAAAAATTTCTAAGTTTATTTTATAACATTTTATTTCTTTTAATTATGAAAATTATGAATAATGTTTGTGAAGTTAAATTAAAATATGATTTTTTTATTGTTATCAAGTGAACGAATTTTCCATTTTCTGTTTTCTAGTTTTCATTTTATAAAAAAACTGTTTTCTTAGAAAACAGAAAATAGAATACAGGAAACTGTAAGTAAACGGACCCTAAAAATCCTATCTTCTATTTTCCCTGTAACAGGGCAGAGCAAAGTGTCATGGAAAGAAGGCAAAGTTCCACCACCTTTCAGAGAATGATTTAAATGAGAATGACAAAGAAATTAGGTTCCTGCACTTCAAGCTTAAATTTAAAATGCAAAGTTTCCAACCTGATCAAGGACTGTACCAATATCTCTACTTTTCTCAACAGTATCACGCCTTATTCTTCTTGCCAGACGTACATCAGCATCTGTACTGAAAATTCAATGATGTAAAGTAACAGACCACCTCAGAAACAAAATGAAGTTGCAAATTAAATAATTTTATGTTAAATTATCTTTACTAGGAAGATCAGAAACTGTTCTGAAAGAAAACATCTCATGGAAACAAAGCAAATTAAACATGTAATGGCTTTGTGATCGATGGATTGCAGCAAGTTGGTCACATACAAGCACTTAGTTGATGAAAATAAATCATCATCTATTAAGAGATTTTGAGATGATCTAGGATCCTACTTAATAGGTTTAATAATCAATTCAGCTAGGTTATGGTGTTCCTAGGAAGCAGGTTTATAAGGGTGTGCCTCAAATATACATGCAACAGAAGCTTTAGACATTTTTTTCATACCTCTTCCCCAACACACAGGCACACATACAAACACACAACCACACATACACACACACACACACACATAAAGGAGTAAAATCCTTGAGTATGTTCATAGAGTACAAGTTCAAAAATTAAAAAAAAAAAAAAAAAAATCAGCTCTTCATAAGTTAATTGTTAATTCTCTAACTAAGTTAAAAATTATAAAGGGCACAAACATTACAAAGGAATAAAAATAACTAACCTGTATCAACAAATATCTTCATGTTCATCAGATCCCGCACACGAGGATCATGGAAAACAAGTATACCTTCCAATATTATAACATCTGAAGGATTGACCTGCAGAATGTTAATAGCAATTAGATATTTCCAATCATTATTTTGGAATAACAAAACATGACTGCAATTTAATATGTTTGGCATGCATGTAAGAGAGAAGAGGACCTGATGACAGTATATGATGTAGATGAACTAGGAGTATTAAGAAAAGAAATTGACAAATGATGATATGAAGAAAACACATGCCAACATAGGATACGTTGACAGATAATAGAGGAAAGAATTTAGGCTTAAATGAACAATTTTGAAATGCCTGTTTGTGATAATATTAACAACAAAAGTTTTACTTGATTTATTTCTCTCAATAATGATTTTCATAAGAAAAGAAAGAAGGACGAGAGTAAAATTCTCATGTAAATTCAAAGAAGAAAATGATGCAAATGAGTCAAACCAAGCCAAATATCATCAGGCTTATGTAAAGCATAATGACCCTCAGTGAGCTTAATCGAGCTTAATTTTTTTTTTTTTTAAACTAATTTGTGGTATAAATTTAATAATACTTATATTTTTTATGATACAAAGGATAACTTTAATTATACTAATCGAAATTTTTTTTTTTAACAAATAACTTTTTTTTAGAATCATTACTTGATAATTTCTAAAAATTAGATTTATGCATAAAATCGTAAAGCAAAATATACTTATATCTCATCTATATAAAATTAAATTATTTATGAGTTGACTCGCGAGCCTATAAATAAGCAACTCATGAGTTTAGATGAGACGAGCTTTGCTTATCTTAAACATGATGAATCTGATGAACAAAACAGCATGTGACAGTACACGTATTGAGTAGCATAAGGAAGATGAAGTCTTGGAACATATACTACACATAACTAAGGAACAACAATGAATTCCAATGGACTCTTGTTGATGATACTTTAGAAACCATCTTCTGCACCCAATTTCTAATCTTAAGGTGTCTGTACCAGCAATTAGCATAAATAGGGGCGATTATGCTTTATATTTCTTTTTATGAGAAAATAATCACACATTGCATTAAGAGTGAACCACAAGCAAACTGTACCCTTCTTGCAGGAAAAACATCATTTTTGTAACTTTTGAAGTCATATTTTGGAATATCTACTGCTTGCCCATGCCTCAACTTCTCCATGACAGATAAGAGTTGTTCAGTATCAAATGCATCTGACAATAACAGAAATATTGTACTGATGATTTGTAAAATTATAGCATCCACTAGATAAAAAAAACTAGTGCCATCAACTCATAAAAATAGCACTCACAAGCATCCAAAGCTTGGAAAATGGTTCAAAAAAAATCTACTCACCTGGATGGTCAAAGTTGTACTCATGAACTCGTGTAAGTTCATCTTCAGTCAGATTGTGATAAAAGGAATCCTGCCATGCCATCCATGTCAAAGTATTTATTTATAAAGGAAATTAGTTCAACTGAATTACAAGACTATATGGATAGCATGAAACTTGTATAAAGTAGTTCCACAGCATGATTAAAAAGGAACAGAATAAAAAACAAGAAGTCCAACTGGATATCATGTTTCTTTGGAAATTTAGTTACAATCTATAGGAATTAAAAAGAAAATCTGATGGAAACTCCCAAGCATAGAGAAGGCTACTAGAGGAACTAGGATGGAGAGCCAATCAACAAGTCATGCTTGTAAATTCCAGCTACTCCCTTAATTACTCCCCATCTTAATCCTAACAGATTACAATAAAAATCTCTACCTCATTACTAAAATTTTTAGTTGGCACAAGAAATTATTACCTGGTTAACAAGAACTACACGCTGATCATGAAGTTGCTGAATAATCATATCACAAACTGTTGTCTTTCCAGATGCTGCTCCCCCAGCGACTCCTATGCCACAAAATAATAAAATACATGTCAGAAACCAGGAAGTCTATTAGAAAGTACAAGTAAAGGTGGACTCATGATAAATTTAGAAGAAAAAATGCACCAGAAAAAAGCAATATCTAGTTCCATTTCATTTTCTCATTCACCAAATCCAAGTCAGCAACTGTCATTTCTTTCCTTTCCTTTTTTTTTCCCCTTTTTTATTTATTCCAAATTGCTTAATGCTAAACCTCAAACCTAGACACCTTAACCTTTAAACTAGAAGCTAACTCATTACTAAGAATACACAATTGCTCCATTTTCTCGGCATTGTTTTTGAAATTTACTATGATGTATACAACTCCAATTGCTATGACCACATAAAAACTCATTTCAACAAGCATTTCTTGTTATCAAGAAGCATTCAAGTGGTGGTAATGGCTATTAAGTAAAGAACATGTCCCAAACAAAAAACAAAGTAGCTACAGAACAAGTGAAAATGGTGGAACATTGGTTTTGCAGCCAACCAAATATAAGAGCACTCGGAACAAAGGATCTGTCAATATCCACAGATGGTAATTTGCAAGCACCTTCTATAAAACATCCTATTCAAAGCAATTAAGTGAATAGTAGATGAATACAATGTTTTGCTAGTTCTCCTGTCTTTACTCTTAAGTGTCCATCCTTAGATTGTGGCCAATGACCCGCCAAGGAGAAATCAAATAATATTAACAGGTAAACATAATATTTTCAGATGCTCATTTTATATCAATTGATTAACTTAATCACAGCGAAACTATAGATACAATACACAGGCAATTATTGGTCTTGTAAAAAAGAACAGAAATGTGCATAACTGATGATTAGCATTTAGTCAAGCAACTTAAAGGCTAAATTTAGAAGGATCAGACAAAACTCTAACCACAAAACTGACAACAAGACTCACCAATAATAAAAGGTTGTTTATACATCTTTTCAGCTGCAGAGGTTGTTGGTTGCCCCGTCTCTGTATTTCTCGAATCCAAACCATCCATGTGAAACCCAGAAAAATGGACTCCTGACGAGGCCTCTATCATATCAACAACTGATTTAGAACCCATAGTAAGAAACCTAAAAAAACCATAAACAAATAAATAAATTAATCCATAGTTTCATACCAATAAATGGAGCTGCACCAGATATCATGCTCAATGAAATTAACTCACCATTGCACCATTCCCCTTCCCACAAACAAATATATTTAAACAAATAAACCCATATTATGACACAAAAGAATTCCACTTCACCTATAAAACTTAATATCTACCATTTCCAATAATGTAAACAAATCAAACAAAGGAATCAATGTCACTATTTGACTCAACTATAGAAACTCAATTCAGTTCCGTGATAATCAAAGAAAAGCCAAACCTCAATCGCATTATAAAACAAACATTCTCACAGTATCAGTTTCGTAATTCCGACTGCTTCACATTCCAATCCATTGCACAACAAAAACATCACTATCCCAAATTACTTTAAGCTCCAAAAACCAGAGCTAAAAGAAAACCAAAAAAAAAAAAGGAAGATACTTCTGATTCCAGATTCCATCACATTGCATTCAAAAACACACAAAACGCACAAATCTATATATAAACAGCACAAGCTATGTCATTTAAACCAAAAACCAATAACAAATAGAGAGATCAGTTCATAAGAGACATAAAAAATCAATTAAAACGTAAGTAACGATACTTCCAGTAAGCAAAAGATGAGATTTCAGATTCAGTAAACAGTAAATAGAACGATCCAAAAATAAGGAACAATGGAAAAAATAATGTACCAATAAAAATAGAAAAAATTAAAAAAAAAATTTAGATTCTTGAATATACCTGTTGTAAACTTGAACCAGAGATCAGTGAAGAGGGAGAGGATTTGAGTATGCGTATAAGGATATTTAATTTGATTTAATTTAATTTAATTTAATTTGAATTTTATCCGATTTTTTTTAAAAATAAAAACAAGATGATTAATTATTAATAATGGAGAGATAGGAGTCAGGCAAATGGCTACTGATTTGGAAATTTATACTGAAAGCAAGCGAGGGAGACCCGCACCCAAACTTCTTATTAGCTAATTGCCCAAGAAGATTGATAAAATTTCAGCATTGCCATTACCGAGACCGAGACCGAGACCAATACCTCTTGGAGTTGGAGATAGTAACTCGTCATGTGTGTGTGTAAACAGAGAATCCGTGTCAATCTTTGGAGCTGAAAATATCTTGGTTAAACCAATCAGATTAAATCTTTTTGATTGAGTTTAATTTGATTTTTAACTCATTTAGCGTCAGTTTTGATTTTTAATTATTTTTAAGTTTAAATTTTTTTATTTGATTTGATTTTTCTTGAGTGTATTTAGATAGTAGGATAAATTGATAAAATTAATTGCACTGGAAAAAAATAGAAAAGTGCAACTTCTCCGAAAATGCATAAAGTAATTGCATTTGGTTTTCATTATCAATCCTATTTCTTGGGAAGTAGATTATCCAATTTTACTTACATAAATGAAGTAAATTCCATAGATATAGATAGGGAAGTTGCATTCTTTAGTTAAGTATAATGAATTTACGAATTTATCTTATTATTTAAATTCACTCAAATTTATATTATGGATATTATTATAATTTAGAGTTTGAGAGTAATTTACTTCTAAGGAAGTTGATTTGCATACTAAACACATGCAAATCATATTTTCTGAAAAATAATTTCCTTAGAAGTATACTCCTTAAAAAGTATATTTCCCGAAAAATCAATCATTTGAACCAAAGGATGTCTTATAGCATCTTCAAATGTGGATTGCTCTATAACAACTTGGCTGGATTTCTTCTTTTTACTATTTAATTTCAACATTAGAAAAATGAAATTTTTTTAAAAAAAATCTCTACAATGGTCATGTTTATTTGCTATGTCGAGTTGATGTGTAAAAAAATAAAATAGACGTTAACAACACCTCCTATTTTAAAAGTTTTTCTTACGGAGATTTATTGCTCTATAGTGTCTCTTAGATAATATAGGCATGTATTGCTTTATAGTAATTCATTATATAATCACAATCCACGTTAGCATAAATGATACTCTTACTTCACTTGTAAAGGAAGTTAGATGTTACATTTTGAGAGAAATATAATTAATAATGCAAACGAAACACAAATACTTAAAGTAGCTTTTAAATGTTCCACTAGAATCCAACTAAACACCACTTAGATTGTGTTTGGCAACAGAATTAAGTAGCTTTTAGTTTTTTCACCAGTTAAGATTCTAAATATTATTTTTTTTTATAACACAGCGTTTAAACTAACTTTTAGAGATTAAGGTAGCATTTTATTGTAAAGTTTAACTTTTAGTGTTTTATAAGAAACTACTCAAACAACTAAACGATATTAAAACAGCTAACAGCTATCAAAATAGATAATTTTATCAAAAATATCTTATCAAAACAAATAATTTTGTCAAAAAGACCCTTAGTTTAGTTGAAGCAAGACAGCCAACTGGATGTGCATCTCTATTAATTTTGAATAAGATCATAATGAGATACTAATCACTTTGTAGTAATTTATAGAATTGTGTAATAATTTAATTAATTAAAAATGGGATGTTTTTTTTAAAATTTTAAATTGTATAACTATAAAATATTGTATCTATATTTAAAAGTAGAAATTTAATTAATTAAAACAAACATAATAATATAACAGTCTAATGGGATAAATAAGTGATGTTATGAGAATAAAAATATTAAAAATTTACATAATTAGATTTTAAAAAAATATGAATTAATTAATGTAAGCTAGAGTATTATTTTTAAAATAATTTATTGAGTGAATAGTCAATTATTGACAGGAACGTGGGATTTTGCTTTTTCCAGAATTTTATTAATGTATATTTGTTAATTTAATATATCGGTTGGATTGGGCGACTGCACGGGTTAGATTAGATTGCGTTAACACGTAAGCACCGAATCAGCTGTGGGTCCATCATTGTCCTAATATCGAGGGGAAGAAGGTAGGTGGGTTATTGTACCGTGTTTTAATACACGATACACGTACAAATTTCTTCGTTCCAGATCCCTTTAAATTTCCTTTAAATTTTTTCGTTCCACCGGAAAAATACCTGTACTTCTTTTTACATAGTTTATTAAATAATAAAATATTATAAATAAAATCATCATAATAAAATTTTAAAACTGTCAAAACTACTGGATCTGATAACTAAATTCCAATATATAATTAATAATAATCTCAATTTATAGACAACAATAACTTATATTTATAATGAAAGGTATCTGTATTAAAAGATACAAATATGTCGATTAGAGTATTTCGATAAAATTAACTTTCTTGATAGTTGTTAGCCGTTTGAATAAATTTTTTTAGATTTGTTCGATAAAATTAACTGTTTTGATAGCTATTAGTTGTTTGAATAGCTTTTCATGAAACGTTGAATTTTACATGTGTTAACTTTTTATAAAGTGTTATTTTTAAAATGAAGTTGTTACCAACACAATTCTAAGTGTTAAACTCATAGAAATTGAGTAGTGAGTAAATCGTGTATTAGTTCCTTATAAGCTTGATTGGGAATATTTATATTGGTGGAGAGATAATTATGGTTGGATAAAGATAGTAGAAATCCTATGTTATCTGTAAGTTAAAATTTATTTAAAAATCTACCGCCTTTTATTATCTTTTAATATATTTTATTATATATATTAATACTAACAAAAAAACAAAGGGATGACCACTCATCTGAACTCGGTCGTGGCCACCCTAAAAAAAAAAAAAAAAAAAAAAAAACAACCCTAAAAAAAAAAAAAAAAAAAAAAAAAAGAAGTTAATTTATAACAACCTAGAGGGTACCTAAATTGCATACTGATCAAATGTAGTAGATTCGGCTAGGTGGAGTTGGCTGGATTTAAAAAAGTATCTAAAATCAAATTAATTAAGTTTTTTACATAGAGAAAATTAAAATCGATTGAATATTTTATAAAATTAAATTAAATTAAATCAACTCTATTTGATTTAATTTAATTTTTATTTTAAGATAAAAATTATTTTGATTTGTAAAATAACCAAAATAATTAATTATTGAAAATAATAAAATATTTCAGTTTAGGTACAACAAGTGGAATGACCCGTACTTTGTCGCAGGTTTTTCACATTTTCATTTGAATTGGTAAATAATGCATTTTTTTTTTTGTCTCACACATAAAAGAGACCGTGGATCTTGAGAATATTTATGTGAATATACATATATATATATTATTATATATATATATATATATATATATATATATATATATATATATATAGTATATATATTAGTATTTTTATGGATTGATGTATATTGTATAAGTACATTAATGTTGTAGGTTTAGTTATACATTTATATTAAGCTAATAGTTCAAAAGGCTATTCAGCAGCCATCTTTAGTACATTTAAGAAGGGATTATCAAAAAGGTTATTTTTATCGACAACGATCGAATTTTCTTCTTACCTATATGATTTCACTAAATATAGCAAATTCATAATCAGAATTTAGATTTAAAATGTTAAATTTAGAGATGAATTACTTTCATGATTGTAAAGTATACTATACCTGTGCATCCCATCCCAAGTAGTAGAACTCTAAAAGAGCCTGTTGTTGTGGGTCTCTCCGATATGTGGGACCCACACAGTCTGAAAAAGAAAAAAAGAAGGAAACGTGTTCTTTGAAGAAAAAAAAAAGTGGAAAAGTCAACAAAAGTCGGTAAAGCAATTCAAAGGTTGGCAAAGAAACTCAACAAAAGCATAATTTTTTAGGCGGTGAATGCGCAGCTCATTCGCTAACCTTTCCTATAAATAGAGGTAGCGAATCCCTCATCAACACACAGCAGAAGAAGAAGAAAAAAAAAATTTAGAGAGAGTTATCTAGTTTTAGTAAGGGTTTCCTAAAACTAGGGGAGAGAAAAATAGTGAGAAAATTATTTTGGGTGTTTTTGGGAAACACTTTGTGTGCCACTATTTTTGTATTACTCTCTGTGTACTGTATTACTCTCTGTGTACCTACTATTTTTAACAGTGAAAGAATTATTTAGAGTTTGTCCCGTGAACGTAGCCCTAAACAGTTAAGGGTGAACCACGTAAATTTCTGTGTGTCACAATGTTGATTATTCCGATGTGTTAATTTTCTCTTAATTGATTGAAAGGGCCAAAAAAGTCGTATCAGAGCTGATACCTAACAACTGGCATCAGAGCTGATACCCAACAACTGGTATCAGAGCTGAGGCAAGTGTACCTGATGCCCAACAACTGGTATCAGAGCCGAAGGTTTCGGCAGGTCCAGCCGGTCAGATAGCAGTACTGGATCCGTGGATATATTTTGAAAATAAATATACCACGACAAAGATACGACGAGTCCATTGGTGTTGTCCGCTCGAAAAAATATTGCAGAATCGACTTAGTAATGAATAGTAAAATAGTAACTCAAAGTTGATGGTGAACAGTACTATTGGCGTTACTGTTGCTGAGTTTCAAGTAAGCCCAGCACTATTCACGCATAGTACTATTCACGTGCACAGTTACTATTCATGTATACAGTTACTATTTGAGTGTACTGTTACTATTCATAGTCACTATTCACATATACTGCTGTTCACGTATACGGTTTATGTTGGTGATGATTTTCTGCGCAAGTCAAAATGGACAAGCAAAATGATCAATCTAAATGGCGGGAATTACCATATACCATATATGGAGAAGATGAGAGATCTTCGTATGGTAATCAAAAAATGCCATTTGCCTGTTTGTTTAGTTGAACTGATGAGGACAAGGGCTTTCAAGATTGGCGTTACTGTTGCTGAGTCCGTTTCAAGTAAGCCCAACACTATTCACGCATAGTATTATTCACGTGTATAGTTACTATTCACGCATACAGTTACACCAAAGGTTCATTTGTGGTAGCTAAAGACCGAAAGCTGTACGGGATGCATGCGGAACTCTTCTAAGACACTTTGAGTGTAGCAA